TCAATGAAAGGCGCGACAGGGGGCGGCCCCGCTGCCCCCGGGGGCCTCTGGGCCGTCGCCGCCGCTTTCAATAATACCTGAGGTGCACAACAAGAGGCGATGCGCCTGTCAAAACAGCGCGTATTTTCACCTTTGTGCGTCGCAGTCGGGAGAGGAAATTTGGAAATAATAAAAAGAGGAATAAGAAAATAATGCAGGTGGAGAAGACGATTTTGGGAATTCAATGAAAAATCCAAGAATGTGAAAAACTGGCTCGCCGGAAGTGGCGAGTTGCCCTTTTCATAAAAGCAGGCGATCGTTTTCTTGACCACACTCCACTTTTGTCAATACCTGTTTAATGAATGACGCGACATGGATTTTCCACGTGCTCGCATTCACAACAACAAGTGGCGTGAGAATCGTGTTAGGCGATCGTAGAAAATAATTGATGGCCACTTCAAAGGAAATCTCTCCCTTGCGACCAGAGTGACGTTTCAGAGCAAACATAGATTCGGTTTTGTCAAAGACCTAGAATAGGAAAATGTGTGAACATTCAGCCGAGCCTGAAAATTCCAATCAACTTCAAGGTTTACAAATGAAATAGAAAATTAGGATTGGCTGGTTTTTTAATGAAAAATTAAAATATCAAAGATAAAATATTTCATGAAAATTATCAAAAAATTAGTGCAAATGAACTGCAAATCACAAAGTTTGCATTCAATTTTGTGTGTGTGAGAGTTAAAAATATTTTATTGAAACTACAAGCAATATTTTCAAAAATTATAAAAAGAAAGCGATTTGACACAGAAACAAACTACCTTATAGGTTTGAGTTGAAAATAATAATGTGCGCCATACTTTATAAATATTATATTTAGAGGAAATTCACATTTAACGTTTTAAAAAAATTCTCAATTTTTTTCTTTTCCCTATATTTTGGTATTATTGAATAAAAATATAATTAATATAAAAATGAATAATAATATAAAATAATCATTTATATAAAAATGATATTACATTATAATTGACATATAAATGTATATTTAAAATTATGCTGTATTAACAGTTTAAATTATAAATTTAAACTCTATTGCTTGCAACAATGCTTTGACTCGCTTATAAAAAAGTAATCACATAATTATTGTAATAAAATTAATTATAATTATTAATAAAATTAAAAACAAATCCCTCTGGCAAAAAAGTACAATTTTTACTGAGAAAATTGAAATAAGCTAAAAAGTTAACATTTTTTGCACGAATTTTACAAAAAAGGAAAGTCACATTTTTAAATTTTTGTTATATATGCAGCTAGAGCATAAAAAGATGAAAAATGATCCTGTCGTTTGCATATTAAAAGTCCGCAGCAGAGAAAGTGATTTCCTCGGCAGGTAATTTGTTTTGGCAGTGCGTTGCTCTTTTCACGCGGCGCACATACCTTTTCTCTATTATCCTCTGCCACACAAAAGCGCGTCTTATGCATGCATGCATTATGTAAAAAAGCGCCGGGGGTGTTTATTTATTGCACACGCGGCCAGAGTGAATTTGTGAATGAATGGCAATCGAGAAGAGCGCAGCGTGCCGAATTCCATAACGTCCTCGCTATGAAGAAAGAGACCTCCAAATAAAATTCAGCGATTTTCTTTTGTTTGGCTTCCCTTAGGTGCGCGACACCGATCCTTCAGGCTCAGGTATCGCTTACCCTGAGCAGTGAAACCTGAGTGCAGGCGACATCACCTTAATTTGATATTTATTTTTATTTATTTGCCACGGCTCTCTGATTTCACGGAGAGCGCGAGAAGAGCGACGGATGACGATTTTCCAACCCGACCCAAATTAAAACCGCAGCCGCCAAATATCTTATTGAGCCGAGACGTGTACGCGACGTCCTGTGAATGGCGTGCACCTGCGAGCGTGATTTGCATCTTCCGTTTTGGCCAAAAATCGATCCGGCGGCATTCTTTCGAGAAAGCCAGTTTTCATTCAAACTGCTCGCCGCAAAATATTTCGAAACCTCATCTTCGCCCCCCTCACCCTTCCTTAAACGTCAAGAGCTTCCCATGCTTTTCACACGTTGCTTATTCGTTTGTCTACTTAAAGTTTATGACAGCGGTCTCGCTTATTGACTTTCAGGGAGGTTTCATGAACTGCACGCTTGATCGCCTTGATACAGAAAAAAGAAGAAGAAAAATGAAAAACGATCAAATGTTCGAAAAGGTTAATTTGATGATTTGAAGTTGCTAAGAAATTGATTAATTTTTTTTTAAATAATTTTAGTCTTCATTTTCATTACAAAAATTGACTTACAAATTTACTATAGTGTTTCTAGGGGAGCACTAAAATTTTGGAGTTTTTTATAATTCTTAAATTGTTAATTCAAACGTTATAAGTTTTACATTGGTGCAGTTGGAGTTTCCGAACTCCCTTATGGAAATATTACATTTAGAGAACAAAATTTAAGAAGAAAAAAAAAACTAAATAAAACGTCTGCCTTTCATAACACAAACATAAACATATAAATTAAAAAACAGCAAAATAAACCCATTAAAGTTTTTATACTCCTTTAATGAAAGTACATACAGTAGAAATAAAGTACGTATTAGTTCTTTTAGTTAAAATTAAATAGAAATGGTCTTTTTCTCCTTCAAGAAAGTAAATTTGTTCGCATGAATTTTCTTATAAAAGAAATCTTTTTAAATTTGCAGAAATAGTTTAAATTTGTGAAATTCGTAAATAATAATAAAAAAATCAAATGATTTTGCAGGAAAAATGCAGTATTTTCTTCATTTTATAAAAGTTAACTTTTCATTTCAATTTCTAATTTTTGCCATTTCATTTTTCACCCAGATTTCGTTATTATTTTGGCTAAAATTTGAAATCTCCTTAAAGTATAGGCAGTGCCGCCTTGCACAGCTGCGCTGCACGTTGCACTTTTTAATTGACAGGGGCTCTCTATATCTCTGTATCGAAAGCAGTGCGCACGGAATTTTTCCTGTCGTTTCACAAAGCTGTGAAATAATGCGTTTTTCTCGCCGGAGAACTCTTTCGACTCATTCTTATATTCAAGGAGGCTGGCAGGTGAGCGAGGTTTCCCACAGGGATTTGCGCGTGCATGCGAGTTTTGAGCAATCAGCAGAAATTTTATTATCATTAAAATGCTCTTCGGCGTGGAAATGGGAAACCCTTTTGTCACTTGTCACCGCAAAATGTGAAATGAATGGCCGCACGCAGGCAGGTATTCGTTTTCTCAAGAGACAACAAACTTGTGTGCCGCGGTCAGTGAAAAATATATAATATAAATACGCCGTTTTGTTGGAAAAGAAAATCCTATTATTCGGGTTGTGCGTTCGAGTGTGATTTGCGCGGATTCTTTCCCAGGCGGATTTTTTCTGTGTGGCCGCCGGATTTGCATTTTTTGCACCCTGAGCTGGCCGGCCGCGACCCTCTCAGCGCCCCCCGCCGCGCACAAAGCGAAAGTTTGGACACACAAAAAGCTGAGAGGGCGACCCGTGGGAACTCACCTGAGGACAGACACTCTGCACCTTTGTTCCCGCTTTGACCGCATCTACATGCATCTCTTTTCAGGGTGCAACGAAAACGTTTGTGAATGCACTTTGTTTTGTCACTCTCGCGCAGGAGAAAAACCAACACACAAATACACAAACAACATAATGCACACCTTCGGAAAAATTTTGTTTGCTCGCGGTTTCCACGCCACCGCGATCAAACCGACTCGCCGCGAGGATTATACAGAGGCTTTGAGTTTGTATTTGCTCCGAATTATTCAGTTTTGTTCAATTATCGTGATTGCATTTTGGTATGAATTAAATTAAATCGATGAAATCTTAGATTTAAAAAATGTCAAGCCAAGACAGGGCCCATGTAGACAAATTCCAAATTATATTAGCACTATTCATTAAAACTATATAACTGCAAAAAACAGAATAAAACTAATTATTTATAATAGAGTCAATTATAATCAAAAATAAATTTTAAATTTACAATGAAAGAAGAAATTAGTAAATAATTAAATATTAATAATTAAAAACTTTGTAGCTAAAATTATATGATCATTTCAATAAATTAAAAATGATAAATATATATAAATATAAAAAATAATAACTTTTTTGCAACGTTCAAATCTCCCATGCTGAATAGGAGCAAAATTTTGTGTGCGAAAGGAAGTGATAAAAAGGTAAATAGCAGGATGGAAATCGTATTTGTTGTCTGCCGGGGCTTACATTCGTGTGCATGTGGCCGGATTTTGATATTTTTGAGAGGAGCGCGTCTTGTCTCGGAGCAAATCAAATATTGACTCGGACCCAGCCAAAAAATATCTATCCTGCAACGCAGATAAAGAGGAAAAACTACACACACGGGCTTTGTTTACCCACACAGCCTTTTCGTTATAATATTCCAACGTTTTCTTAGTACCAGCAGCACATACGTAAGGCCTCTCTGATATGAGCTGTCGACCAAGCCTTCGAGAGCAGCGCGCGTTAAAAGGCATTAAAAACTACAAGCAAAGTATAGCGAGCGTACATACAAAGTGTACCGAGAGAGAGGGACGTGCCTGATAAGAGTGTTCTCGATCAATAATATAAACAAATCTAATGGACCGAAGAGAAGAGAGGCAGAGGCAAAAAAGGTTCCAGAGATTTGCAAAAATATTATTCTGCAAGAAGCTTTAAAATTTTATTCTTAAAATTGATTAGATTTTATAGTGATTTTTATTAAAAAAAAATTTATTAGCAATTGTATAAGGACCAAACAAAATAATTCAATATTTTGAAAGGATAAAACGCTTTGAAGTTTTTGTATTAACCGATTATATTGGCGCACACAAAACCACTTGTTGCATGTTTTGAAAATGAAAAAATTATAATAAAATTGACTATTAAATTAAAAATCATATTTATATTAATTGTCAGATAATGAGAATTGTTATAAACCTCAATTTTGTGCAATTAAATTATCAGATCAGGTATATAACTGATTTTTTTTTTAATAAAATCTTGGTCTTACCTCTGTCATGAGGCGATCGGCGCCGGTGCCCTCCTCGTCCCGGTAAATGATTTCCGAGTTGTAATTGGGCTCGAGCTCGGCGAAGCGGGGGTCCTGGCGGGTAATCTTGCCCTCCGCGAGCCCACTGGCACCAAGGGTGTTCTCGGACATGTTGGGAATGTGCTGCATGAAGACGAGCGGGGTGAGTTTTCGGGGCGTCTTGACGCGGTGGCCGCCCCTGCCGGGCCCGCAGGCCCAAAGGGGGCCCGGGCCCAGCAGCAGCAGCAGCACGCTCAGGCCAACACAGACACTCATTCCATCACTGACCACTTGGCCGCCCTGAGTGGCCTCCGGCGGCGGCGGCGGGAGGCGGGGCCTCCCAGAGTGGGGACGCTCCGCCCCGACCTAAGCCCCCACAGCACGTGCCCTGCCGCCGCCGCCGCAACCTGCCGCGCTCGCTCGCTCGCTCGCCAGGTAAAATATATCCTTTCGAGATTTGCTTCGATTTTATTTCTTCCGTGATTTCTGTCCTCCGATGAGAACAACGCATCTTTGGGACTGTGGGAAACAAGGAGAGAATCATGAGGATGTTGTACCTGAAAAGGTTTATCAAACAATCCCAGGCCAAAAGGTTTTAAATCGAAAACAAAAATCAGATATTTTGAATTTTTCCCAAAACAGGACTTTATAGGCATAGAAGAATTTGTATTGAAACCAACTTCGTTTTCATGCAGTTTAACAGAAATAAATTTGGTCTCATTCTATTTTCAAATATATATTTTTGACTTTAATTTGCCAGGGTGAAAATTCAAGTGCAATGAATTTCTGCAGTCTTTTCCAATTTCCCTCTTTCTGTTATATGAGAACAATATTCAACGCAAAGACTTTCAATTGGGTACATCTGTTGTCATTTGATTATAGTATTTATAGTTTTGATATTTTTCCTAAAATCAATTGTTAAATAAAATATATTTTGTGTGCTATAAAAGCTCAATTAAAATTGTAATTTTAAACACACTCCAAATTAATTGTTTGTGTAATGTTGAGTGCCTTAATTGCAGTGAAAGACTGAAAAATCGATTGACCTTGCTGTTATATAATTATATAACCTTTGAAAACGAAAATAAATACAAATTTTTATTATTTACTTCGCTTTTTTTTAATTTTCCTATTTTTAGATTTTTGTTTTGGCACGCTTTTTGTTCTGATTTTCTTTTTATTCTTGTTAACTCATGTCTGCGGTGAAATTTTTCTTTTCACAGGCACATTGTATCGACTGCATGTTGTTTAGTTTGCGAAAAAAATCTGACTCATTATTGGCGCACTACTTTTGCATGCCCCAGAACCTCTGAAGTCAATTATGGTGCCGGCCACTCCGGATATATGGCTGTGCAGGATTTGAAATTCCAAGGCAATGCGTACTCTCGGCAGCAGACAAAACAATTTTGTCTCTCAGAAGGATAAACAAATATTAACAAACCTCTTTATACACTCTGCTTTTTTGAATCACATTTTTGAATGGAATTTAAAAATATACTTCCAAATTCAAATGAAAGCTGCATTTATTTAATTTAAAAATGAAATTTTAGTTTCCCGGTTGTGAATCATATATTTTTCTCTTGTAATGTAATTAAAAAAAAAATATAAAAGATTAAGCAACGATGCATGTATGAATCATTTGCTTTTGAAAAAAGAGAAAGAATCGAAATAACAACCTTGCCATTCACTGCTTTAAAAAGCAGACTCTATTTATTTGCAATATCCATGCAAATTTTAACGCATCAATATGCTAATTACCTGCGGAACGTGTGTCGACTCGAGATCAAAAATACCGCCAGAGTTTATTGCCCGTAAAATATTTTAATTAATATAAGAAGAATTCACGTAAAATCCAAAATTCTATAAGAGAAATTGTTTAAAAATTTAAATAAATTTTAAATTCATAGATATATAAAAGTTAAAGAAAAAATTGAAAAATTTGATTTTGTTCGAATTGCATCTTTGACTGCGGCGATCTCTCGGCGGCTGCAAACTTGGGGGCGGTGTGGGGGCAGCGGGGGCGGCTCATTTGCATGGGCGATCCTTATCCTTTCAGACTCAACAATGGCCGTTGGCACATGATTATAAAAAATGTACATTAAACGAATCTCTACAAGAGTGAATAAGGCGCGCGTGGGCCGAAAATAAATATCACAACAGCACAGGTGCTGGATTTTTCATTTTCTTTTTCAGCTTCCACGAACTCTCCCGTGCTGCAGCATGTGCTGTGCGTCATTTTTCAATTCAAAATTCTGGCGTGCGTGTTTTTCTTTTACCTGAAAAAGGTGCATGTAGCACATTTATTATATGAAATATATCTTACACGCGGCGCGGGAAAAAGACAAAACAGGGCGCAGTTTAATGCTGTGCCCCTTCATGCACATTATAAATTACGCCTCTCTTGATATTGTATATGCATTTTGAAAAACAATCGGATAATTTTCATATTTCCGCAGAAGTGCACCGCTAGTCATCGTTATTCCGAGAAAAATTTATGAATATATCAGAGTCAACCATAATGATATCAAATTTTAATCTAGTATGTGTCATCAAGTCTGAAGAAGCGCCAAATCTTAATAATAGGCTTATATTTTAAAATCAAAATAAGTCCGTAATTTATAAGTTTGGGCCGAATTAAAAATGATGAAAAATATAGTCGGAATATGTATTTCTTTTATATTTTCTGAAAATTAGATTAAACGTTCCCCCTGCGCAGCATGAAAACGGTTCTGCAGCATAAATTTCACTTATTGTTTTTAAATCTCAATTCGAGTTCAACTTTTATCAAAAAAATTTATAATACAAAAAGTATTTTATTTATAGCTATGATTGCTAAAATACCGTTTGAATGGTGCCATATAATAAATGTAATATGCGACGCATCTTTTTAGGATTCTTTAATTTTTTGCTTTGGCTTTTAAAGAGAATTTTTTATCAAAAAAGGCCGCGGCAAAGATATGAGAAAAAGATTCCACGGCAGCAGATCTCACGCATGTTGTGTTGTTTTCGGTTGATCCCCGAAGCAAAATAAGCACATTTATTAATAAGCGGAGCGCGAGCTTGAGCCGCTTTTTGTCTATGATATTTGGAATAGTTTTGCTATTGGGAGAGCGCGGGGCTCTGATATACTCAAATCTTTTGCTATAGCGGCTGAGGGTTAGTTTTTTTAGATAATAATTTTACTTCGTAGAAAATTCACCTAAAAAAAGGGGGGAATATCATTAATTTGTTCTTCATTTCCTATACATTAATTATATATATAGCACAGAAAATCATTAGTACAAAATTTTGGTGATCACATATAAGCATCTGTAGCAGGAAAAAGTTACTGCATTTGTGTAGAAAATAGTGCTGATCGAATATTTAAGAATTCTAGAAGGATATTAGGAGATATATTCACATATTATGCTAAAAGTTAGCTTATTGAGAATTGTTGGTGCAAACTTTGCATGTGAATATCTCTCATAATTCTATATTTTTAATTCATATAAATTATAATTAAAATCATATAAAATTTTACAGCACCTTTTCAACTATACAATTATTATTTTAAGTATTTTTAAAAAGCTTTTTTTAATATCAACAATTTATATTTTAATATGCATTTGGTAATAACAATATTTAAAATAAAAAAAGATTGTTTGAACATTAATTTTGATAATTCAATAAATATTCGACTTTCTTGTGAAAATACTGATGTATTTTCAGTTTAAATATACCTTTTTCACGATTGATGTACAAATATGGCATTAATACACACGATAAATTAATAATTCAATTCATTAAAAAAAAAATCATTCTTCCAATTTGAATTCATTTTAATATCCTCGTTCTGATATATCTGGGATAATTTCCCCACTGATGCAACATTTCCGATTCGACCGCAATAATGGGCATCGCAATGAAATCGACGCTCTGATGTGAAAAGGGTGCTTTTAGCCACGCATGTACTACACGAAGGTGGAAAGCTTGATCGTTTTGTTGTCGCACGGCGCATATAAGCCGGGCCAGTTGCAGGAGCCCTTGTGGGAAATAAAGAAAAGAAAGAGGAATTCGGGGGGTTGACTCGAGCCCGCAACTAGCAAGCACAAAATATTCTCCTCGGGAGGTGTTTTGGGCATGTTTTAGGCGCTGTTTGGACAGCCTGTTTGACAACAAAGGCGCCGACCTGAAAGGTTGCCTACCTGACAACACAAAAAAGGCACCCAACTTTTTAACAAGCCAGCACAACAAAACGAGATTTATCTGAAAAGGCACCCAGCGGGTGACATTCTCTCCAGCTCAAATCCAATTGCATTCTTGGCCAAATTGAAAAGCAAACCAGCTTTGGGCCTGTTTGTGTTTGGGGTGCAAACACACAAAGCTGCTCGCCCCTCAAAGCGGCCGCCGCCAGCACAATAAAACTGCAATTTATATATCTGCACGCAGCCTTTTCCCGCCGATCTCATTCATAATTTGTTCCTCGCGCGCCAACAGTTTTGAATCAAAATCGCCAGGTCTCGGAAGATTTTACATCGAATTCCGCGCGCCACTTCATACGGTGAAAATTTACTTTCCACCGCACAGAGAGAGGAAGCTGCACGAAATTGATATCGTTTGTTCCCCCTGCACCAAAAATCTCATCCGTTGAAACCTCGGATTTCTTGTGTAAATGTTTTCTTAACTTACCGCAGAAGAACCTTTAAAAGGTGGATTTTGTCCAACGATTTTTTTAACATATCAACATTATTATTTCTAAATTGTTTTAGTTTCAATACAAGATAATTTTTTAAATTGTATGAAAACTCACATTGGAACACAATATTAAAAAAAATATATAAAATTTCATCTAAAAAAGAACGACATATTTCTCTTGTAATTTTAATGGCTTATTAAAAGGGTCTGGAAATTAATTGAGTGGTGCATGATAGTTCAAAGTCTTCAAATTGAAAGAGCACCAATTTTTTGATTAAATAGTGTATTTTTGAAATTATTATCTAATACAATTTTTGATGAAGTGCTATAAAAAATAAAAATACGCTTTTGTTTTAAATCTGAGGAGAACTCAAATATTGGTTGGAAATTTTAAAGCGACTTCATTACAATATATTTTTTACCAGGGTATGAAATGCGCATTTTTGAATAAATTCTTTTACATTTTTTTTTTTTTTTTTTTTTTTTTAAAGAAAAACAATATAAAATATAGCACTTCATTTCACTTATGCCGTCACGAGACGTAAAACAAGTGCGGTCTCTTAAAACCAGATAATTTAATTCAATAAAATGTTGCCATCGTTTTAATTGATTTTAAATTTAAATGCCTCTTTCATTTGGCTGACAGAAAAGAGTCGCAGTGAAATATTTATAAGCGACAAGTCAGAGGTCAAGAGGGTCTCTTTCACAATGTGCGTAGCGTGTAATGTGAAAATTAAGCAAAACAGCCGCGCGCTCTTCAGCTCTCCCCTGCGCGTTTTCTTTTGTCCCGTTTCAGAATTTATCAATTTTGCTCTTGGAAAATCTTCTCTAATGCCAACACAAGACGCATGGCCTGCTCGTCCCGTGGGGAAATCACAACAGCATAAATTCCATTCTACATATAAAAGCAGATGTTTTTCTTTAAAGGAAAAAAATTAGCTAAAAGGTGTTTGTCGCGCGAGCTAAGGGAAATGAATGGGCGGGGACGAATTTTAAATTCAAATCAGCACAATGAGTGTAAATAAAGCGTAATCACCAACACGTGACCCCCTATGCGCGCGACAAAAAATAAACAGCACCTTTTTACACTCACTCAATTTGAGCGGCATTGTTCGACAAAATGCACCCGAATAAATTATCCTTGGAGAAGAGAAAGAGACACTTGAAAGAGAAAAAGCAGATTTCTTCTCCCAACCGTGCGACATTCAAAACCATTAATGTGTAGACTAAAAAATACAGACAGACAAAATTGAAGGTTAATTTTAATATAAAAATTAAGAATTCAAATCATTTAATGAAAATAAATTTTTAATGAGATTTGATTTTTAAATCAATTCCTCAAAACCATATAAACATACAAAATTAATACAATTAATATTAAATTCAATTTTTCTTTTTCAGATTTCTTTGAGCAACGTATATTTTTCAGTATGTTGCAAACATCGTGTGAGGCATAAACAACACAAAAGGTGCTTAATTTTTTTATTCCAAATGACTTTAATATAAGAAATGGCAAAACAAAATAAAACTGCAGTTTTCTGTATAGCTTTATTTTGTTTTGATTCCATCTTTAAAAATACGACGTGCCCAAACGTTTACAAGCAATGGTTCCGCCAAATATATATTCAGAGTGTATTACGACCGCAATAAAAAGCGGACTGCGCAAATTAATTTAATAGCCCTGGTCAGTGGACGTTTAGACGGACTGCTGCACACTCAAACTTCTTCTTTAACGGGCGTTTATATTAATCAAATTAACACCAGAACATCACTCGAGAGCTCATTAATTTCAGCTAATTTATATTTCAGGCGTCGTGTTTATATTTCCCGATGCTTGGAGAATGCTCAAAAGAGAGACAAAGATGGACCATCCTTGAGTTTTTATTGCGACTTGTAAAAACGTTAGCACACGGTTTTATATAAGAGACGAGCACAAAAAAATTCGAAAGTAATTGCAGAGCTTGCGAATAAATGTCAAAAATCTTAACCTTATTATGGGCGCAACATGATTACGCAGAAAGTAATTGGGTAAAAAAAATGTCACATCATCATAAGCAGAATTAATTTTGATTATATATTAAATGGATGGAAATAAAAAAATATTTTTAAAACGCGTGCGTTGAAGTCTCCAAAAATGATAAAACAAATTTTAAAGTTTCCTTTACTCTCTCAATTTTCACGCCAAAATTGAAATAATGGTGCTGAAAAGTAGGGCAATTACGCAGATTTAAATTCAAAAGTGGTCTTGTAATTGAAAGCGATTAATTATCTTAAGTGGCAAGGGCGCGAAAACGGCTCTCGGAGGTGCGAAACGGAGGCGAGTCCGACGAGAGCGAGGCGCACCTGGCCGGGTCTTGACGGCGCACTGCCCGGCACGCGCGCCTCCTGGGTGGTCGGACCACCCAGTTTGAACCTTGCGCCGCCTCCACCACCTCCGCCACGGCCTCCAGGACGACGCCGGAAACTCACCCCTGATCGTGTCACCCTGGACTAGGGTTGAAAGTGATATTTTCAATTTTTCACAAAATTTTAATTTTCCAAAAAGTTAAAATTTTTTAAAATTCTTAATTTTATTTTTCTAAACTTAAGAGAAACTAGAAACAATCGAAAAAAGTTGAAATTTGAAATTTCGAATTTCAGGAGACCGGAAATTTTCAATTTTCCAGGGTCTGCGGCGAGGTTACCTGTCGGATGTGTCGGCCGTGGACCTGAGGATGGTTCTCACGGCAGGAATTTTGTCCTCCCCCCGCCCGTCTCTAATTAATGTCTCTCCGCGTCTAGTTTGAATTCTTGACGGCCCAGACGGCCCAACGGGGGCCCGGGCCGTCTGCGGTGTGCGAAAGAGGTAGGCGCGAGGTCACGCGCAGGGTCACAGGTCGCCTCCAAAGAGATCATATTTTTCAGCGGAAATTGCCCAAATCTCGGCACGTTTTTTTTTCGCCAAAGCCGTTTTACCAGGAATTTGAAGAAGCGGGGGATTTAAAAACGCATAAAAATTCCAACTTGATACATTATATAGGTTGAATCGCGGCGTCTGTGCTGAAAAGAGCCGAGGCTTATTAATGAACCGCCGCGGCTAAAATATTTTGAATGCTTTTTATTCTTTAATGAAACGTGTGCACCGAGTTTTATGTTCGCATATTAGCCGAAATTTATTACATGTTTCGCCTTTAAGGAGATTTCCCGCCATCATGACGATATTCGAATTAAAAAAAACTGAATGTTCAGTTAAAACCTTTCCTAGAATCGCAGGCATATAAATATTTTTATTAAAGACACTTTACCAAATTATAAATTTAATTTGATACATGGGCAGACTTAGAAGGTCTTTTTTAAATTGCTCAAAGATTCAATTATTGATTAATTTACCACCATTTATAAAAGATAATCTTGTTTTTAAACAATATTAAATTAAAGTAAAAACGAATGCATCTTTAAGAGATGTAATGTACTATTATAATTGTTTGTTCTTCACAAATTAAGTCTTACACGGAAAAATAATTATTTTGGTTTGTTTTTTTTATTTTTACTTTATTTTTAATTTTGATAATTTTTATTCTTGTTTCTATATAAATTTTATTGTCCAAATTTTACTGTCACTGTTCGAGTAGACATTTTGTTCAAATTTTAATCGAATACATTAATTTTAAAGTTATTAACAAGAAAAGAATAATTTTCCTATAAAATTAAGGTATTTTATTTTCATAATTTCATAATTTATATTAATTTAATATTTTCCTTGTAGAATTAAAAAGAATCTCTAATAAACAACCCTTATTTTTCTATTTAATAAATAATGAATTTACCTAGGACTTAAAATTTGAGAGCAATTTAATTTCATTCAAACCTTTAAAAGCCGCGTTCTGTCTGAACAAAAACCTCCACCATAGAATAGATATAATGCGATGAAGAATAAAGAATCCATCGTTGCGTGTTATCCTGAAAAATCTCAGAGTGTGTAACAATTGAAATGTTTTTCTCGTTTAATTTAAAATGAAATTATTATTATTCATTAAATTTTATTATAATACTTCAGCCAATTTTTTTAAGTACAGCACAATTTTTTTACTTTTGATTTTCATCCCGCAAACAAGTCAAAATATTCTATTTTTCTTTACTTCCGATTTTTTTTTTAAGGTTTTCAGACCCTGCAAGTACGATTTGATGAAAGGCTTAGTCAAGGTTTCGAGTAAAAGTGTGAGGCGTGAAACCGCCGAAAAAGAAGCGACTCGGCGGTGTGTGTTTGATTAGGTTCAAACAAAGGGAAAAGCGCCGAGTGGATAGAAAAAATTTCCAAGAGAGAGAGAGAGAGAGGAATACAATCTCGACCGCTAAATAGTAGTTTGCCGGGTGTTTGATAGAGCGGAGAAGTATTTTGGGTCGGTGTAAGGCCGTTATTACCGTCATCATGTCTGTCAGGAAAAAGAAAATTGATTTTATCGAGGCTGGCTCCTTAAGCACCGTTGTTGTTTAATTTTATTGCCGCCTCTCGGTAAATAAATCAGCCGCGCTCAAATATTCCTCACCTCTCGCGTCTCTCCCCAACCAAAAGAAATCTCTCTAAAATTCACGCGGCCATAGGGAAAGAAGGACGAAAAATATAAATTTAATCTCTGCTGAACATAAAAAGAAAAAGCCAGGGGCCATCTGTCGAGCAAAGGAGCACCGAAATTGAAAATCAAACGCGCAGCTACCGACCTCTCAGGTCCGTTTATTTCAACTTTTGTGCACACACACACCATCAATTGACGACTCCGTCCGGCGCATTTCTTTTCATACATTTTACAACGTTCTTATTAGTGATTTTATCTTAATTCTTCTTTTCACGTGCGTTTCCATTATTGTCCGGCTTATGCTTAATTCTTGTCCGAAAGACTACAATTCACAACTCGCAAGTCTCACTTGATGAGGACAAATTTATTTGCCTTTTCCAGATATCGGTTTTGATTCTTTTTCAATCTGTTTAAATTTTATTTTTCTCTGTTTTCGAGGATATAAAAAATTGGAGATCAAGTTTTTAGGTTAAAAGTTTTCTTCAAATACTTGTTTTCTTAAACAACCAATTTTCAAAGGAGAATTTTTTTTTAAAAAAAGACGATGACTATTTAATTGGTTTTTTTGGTAAATAAAAAAAAACATAAATCATATTTGTTGGAGGAAAAAATATATAAAAATCAATCTGCTCATTAAAATTATCAAGAAATTGCTCACAACTTGACCCAAAAAAATTGAATTTAAGCAATATCTTGACAATATTATGCTGAAGGTTGCATCTTTTCATCACCAATTACTATTAAATTTTTAAAAAGGCAAATATATTTATCAAATATAATTATATTATATTCCTTGCCAGCTTTCATTGACCCATTAATGACGTAAAATTCGTGAGCGTTTTCTTTTCTTAATTTTATCTTGTAATTTTTTCTTTTTAAATTTTGAGTATTTTTCTGTTAATTACATTCAATAGGCCAATTCACAAAATAGTTTCTTCCACATTGAACGTATAACTTTTGAGTCTAACTTCAACATTGAACAATTTTTGCCAAGAAATATATATATTTCATTTTCTGATTTGTAAATACACGTACGTATGACATCTAAATCGCAACAATTTTTATCCATTCCGTTAAACACAACGTTTTTCAACATAGTCGACTTCAATTACAGCAACAATGAATCAACAGTTTCTTTCCTTCATTTACTTTTAACCTTTCTTTTGTTATAGACTTGAAGAGCGACGCCAGTCTTTTGTATCTGGAATTGATATCAGTATATTTATATAATAGTACAATAATGTTCAGTATCAAAGACAAAGTTTAGTGTAAGAGTCTAACTTTACCGCGCGATCTCTAAAAGTGCTGTTCTCTAAAACGGGGGGTCTCTCACAGAGCTAAAATGCAGCGTTTGGCAACAATCAGTGTGGTAAAAGTGATTATTGATCAATCACCTAAAAGGTCTAGTCTATTTATAGTGAAAGAGGTTCAGAGATGAAAGGAGATAATTTTTAAGGTGACCAGCGATTCATACTTACGAAGAAATGTCTAATATGCAACTTGGTGAGCTTTGAAGCTCTACAGGTTGCATAACTAAAGACTGGTGCAAAAAGTCGCATCTTTTTTTTAATAAATTCAAAAATAATAATAAAATCTGATAAAAGCATCTTTCCAAGTAACGTTAATTTATTATGTAATTAATTATGCCAGAATACTTTTAAGAAATTTTTAAACTAGATTTTGTGGAATTGAAACAAAAATTTTGAATTTTTATTCTAATAATAGTTGGTGAAATTTTTGATAAAATGTAATTAATAATTTTGTTTACGGAGATTTTTTTTAAGAAATGGCATTTTAACTTTTCAAGGGCTAAAAAATGCCAAGAAAAAAAACATAATCTTAATTTCAAATAAATATTAACTTTAAAATACAACTGCCTCTATTGTAAACGAATTTCAAGCACAAAAACACACAAAAATCTGCCATTTTATATAATGAGACTTTTTAACCAGTTTGTTAATTCAAGGAATCAAATGAATTTTTGACTAGAGATGATTTTAATGAACAGTGCGACAATTCCTACTGTAGGAAACAAGCTGATATGGAAGAACGAAAATAGCAAGTCTATTTTCCGATTGTTCACCTGCCTACTTTAAAGCTACTCTAAAAATATTCACCTTTTGTTTTGATTAAAATTCAAATTCTGGTCACCCGATATTTCCGAAGCTGAAATAGGAAATATTTAATATTTTATTCGGTTGCAGGGAAGAGAGGAATGGTCCTGTGATATGTGCTGCGAGGCGCAGAGTTTGTTTTTCATGTTCAGTCGCACAGGAGGCGGAAGGCCGCGAGGCCGGCGGCCACGCAGGCGGCCAGCTCGATCCAGAAGCGGCGCGACTGCGTGGGTCGGGCGGCCAAAAGACAGGCCAGGGGCACCAACACGTGCAGCAGGTCGGGCACCATGAGGAAGACGTCGCGCACCACCTGGTGCGCGAACCCCTTGGCGGCCAACACGTTCTCCACGAACTGGTCGCGCGCGGCCAGCAGGGCGTGCACCAGCCCCACGGCCATGATAGGCAGCACGCCGCGGCTTGTGACGTTCACCTCGCGGTCCGCGAGCCGCAAAACCGCGAAACTCGCGCCCACCTGACACGCACAAATACCAATACAAAATTAGTTTTGCATTCAATACATTAAAAAATTTAATCTCGAGAATTTGTTCTCTTCATTCACTTATTTTATTATTGAATAGTTAATTGGTTATAGAATAAAAATTATCAATTACTGATAAGGTGTTAAAATGTAGTTTAAGTGCATTCTTTTGGAAATTTTGTGTAGAATGGTGTAGTAGTAGTTTTTTTTTTAAGTGCGATTTAAGTTTCAGATGTTAAAATAGTAATGATCATTTTACTAATTATTAACTGAATTTTAATTTATTTTTTTTAAACATATTTTATTAGTTTGGCGCTTTCATGTTTTAGATTAAAAGCTAGCTTGGAGCAGAAAAGCCATGCATTGTAGGTTTGGTGTAATTATTAATTATATATATTCCGACTTTAAAAACTACTTAACGCGTTCAAATTAGTTGTAAAAATTTCTGATTTGTTATAAACGTCAAAAGTTATTTATTATTATGTATGTTAATAATGAAGCAAAAATCACTGCCTAATTTCAAATAATTTCCATACTCATATACAAAATGTAATGTAAAATTAAATAAAATGTATTAAAAAATAATAATTAATTTATTATCCAAATATTGTTATTTTATATAAAATTTAATTATTAAATTGAAATATAATAATAATATAATAAAAATGGTTTAAAATAAAATTTTTATTTAACAAAATTGTTTTCTAATTGGTTTCTAATAGGGCAGAGAACGCCCGGTGATGTATTAATAAAACTTTATTGAAACAAAATATTTCACATAATTAAATGTGTTTAAAAATATTTTATGAATAAAAAAAAATTATCAGTTGGAATTTCAACTCTTATAGGTCAAAACAGGTTAAAATTGTGAGTTTTCAATTGAATTTTCAATTCCCATTGAATTAACATAGAACTTGCCCATATTTAAATATTAATTTATATTGAAGAATAAAAAATAAAAACTTACCTCGGAAATAGAAAAGTAGAGCTGGTGGTGCCACTGCGCGTAAAAATCATCGTTCCAGTAATTGAGGTAGGACCACCAACTGTAGTAGTGCGGGAAGAGGGCGAGGAGGAAGAGCAGCGCCATCGGGAGGCGGAGGCGGCCGCCGACGGCCAGCATGACCAGCCGCTTGATGGCCTCGTAAAGGGCCACCACGGCCATGACCGTCAGCATCCATATGAGCAGCACGTTGCGCGTCGCGTTGAAGTACAAATGCTTGTACGAGGCCACCCCAGTTTCGTAGGTGCCCTGCAAGAGTGATTAATTATCATCAGTGACTCGGCACAACTTTCAAAATTAAATTCTGGTGCATTAGCTGCAGCCAAATTAGTTCATGTTTCGGGCCTTTGACTGGCAGCAAAAGCATTCAACCCAAACTAAATTATTAAAAATGCAGGGAATTTTTAGGTTTGATATGATTAATGACCAAATTTTATGAGGAAAAAGGAAGTTTATTTTTACTAAACTCTGATTCTAAAAAGTTACAATTTAAGCCAACAATATTTGAACCCAAGTCATGTAATAATTGGTAATAACAAATCTGAATCAAATTTAGTAATAATTACAATTAAATAAAAATTTTTAATATAATATTTTTATATGTTTCAAGGGATTTAGAAATTTGCCTATTTTAGTTGGTTTCTTAAAATCCTTGGAATTGATTGTTTGACTTGTTTGGAGAAAAATAAAATGAATTGAATTGAATTGAATGCTTTTAATGAGCCAACAAATATTTCATCTTACCCAAAATTAAACAACCACACAATTTTGTACTTTATTAAATAAATAAATAAAGTTTATTTCTACTAATTCCAGGTTGAATTTCAGATTTTGTACTACCAACTCAGCTCTGAATCCTAATTGAACCCTCAACCCTAAGTAATAATTCTTGTTTTGATTTTATATAATTTCATCGAAATCAATTGAATTACTTTTTAATAAGAGATTCATTAACATCAACTGAAGTTTATATGAATCAATCTGAATAATGAGGTTATCATTAAATCTAATAAAAAAATGATTTAATTATAAAAAACAGAATTACTTTTTGTTTTGAGTCAATGAAATAAGGACTACATTAATTTCATTTTTAATTGATAATTAACTAAATTTGCAGGCAACGCTACAAATAGTTTGTTGCAAACTTTGAGAATGTTGTTGATTGCGCGTTTGATTTTTTATTTAATTTCAAAAATTACAAAAAGGAGATGAACAATAAATTGCTTTGATTAGCTCTAAATGAAATGAATTATGCTCAACATTATCCTTAACAATCAAATCTTAATTATTTAGGCAAAGATGGGCAAATTTATACACTACTTTAATAAAAAAAAAAATAGACAATTATGTGTAATAATTCATGCAAAATTGACACCGCAGGCAAACCTCATTGCTGAGAAAAAAAATTTATAATTTATTTGGTGCTTTTCAAATACTTAGTGAAGATTCTTCAGAATGCTACACTACAATTTAAAAAAAACAATAAAAATAAATAAATTTGAGAAGTAAAAACTACCATATTTTTTCTCTAATCGCATTGCCAAAATGATGTCTTTCAAAGATTTATTATTATTATTTTTGCCAACTCACTTTAAAAATAGTGTCCCAGCAGCTGCAGGTGCACGTGTACCTGTCGACCTTGCGCGTGTACTGGGACCAGTACTTGGAGAGCACAGCCATGTGCAGCGGCGGCAGCGCCAGCGGCAGTGCCAGCCCTGCGAGGGCCGCCACCGTCGCCCCCCGCACTGAAACAAAGCAAAAAACCAGACAACTTTATTCACCGCCACGAACTGAAGCAGCAGCAGCGAGGGGATGCTAAAAGTTCTTTAATAATTACAAGCTGCGGGGGTAACAATAAAGAGGTGCTTCAGAGCGCACTGACGCTGAGTGCCTTGAGCGTTCTCATTAAACTTTTTTCTTCAAATTGCTGCGGAAAATTCTGCATTTTCTGCAAAGTTACTAAAATTTTCAAGTTTTTTGAGTCTCCTTTATAGCAGAAAACTCTTTCTTTTTTCACACTGTCAATTCTAACAAATTGGATTACCTCATTTAAAAATTTGAGTCTCAAAAAAATTTCTTTTCAAGTAAATTTAAAAAATTTTGTCCAGACACGTTGTTTGGATATTTTCTTCAGACTTGCACCTCATGAGTCTTGTGCTTATCAGGAAGTGCGATTTTTCAAACGCGCTTAAAAGCGTCAATTGAACTCTGAACCTTTATAAAGTAAAGGAAACGTAGCAATTCATCAAACTCTTGCAATTACTAAAGATTTCAAGATAATGGAATGAATTTGCCAATTGACTGATAATAAGCCTCAAAAAGTACACAAATAGTTAATTAATTATAATTATTCATAAAACCTAAAGATTAAATTTTCATAAATTATCTCTTGTTCTTCTCAAATTTATCTCAAGGGAGCTGATTCAAAACTTGCAGCTTCCTTCCCGGTTGCCAAGGAATTGATGAAAATTATTCAAATATTTTTAATAATTTTTTCTTCCACAGATTAATGCAGAGTCAACCAACGCTTAATTCTTGGCAATGGGTTGTATTTGTAACGAAATTTTTTTTTTATCAAGATGAATTCTCTACACTGCACCATTGTTTTTTATTTCAATGCAGTAACTTGATTTCGGCTACGAGGGAAAGCAATAATTGATGGTATCGCGACGCGGGTTGCATAGATACTGGATCTGCAGGCGCTTGAAAAACGTGTCTGGCGTTTTTGGAGTCTCGCCAGAAACGGCGAGATTCGCTTGAAAGAGAATTTCCATCAATATAGCTTAAAATAAATCCTCCACAATTGAAAATCCAATTAAATAAAGGCCGGAACGAAAATATAATTATTCTAGGTTTTAATTGTTTTGCCGCTGTCATAGAATAAACAATGGACCACTCAGTACTTGCTTGCTCGGCTCACATGCACCCTAGTGGCCCTCGTCAGGGCCCTGGCAACGGACGGACCGGAAAATTACGCAGCCGCCCCCGCACTTTCCTTCCTCCCTTTTTCCACCCTTTTGTGAAAAGGAATTTAGCTAGAAAAGCAGTGGCGAGGCGTGGCTGAGATTCGAGAGATCTATTTCGGGCTCACAATAACAAACAAACAAAAGCCGAGGGACTCACTGGACAGCTAGAGCGAGGAGCGATGTACACGCGGCGCCGCCAGCCAGCTGACTGAAGGAGGAGGGTAGCTTTCTCTCTCGCTCGCTCGCTCTGCATGGGAGGGTGGCTGCATGACTCATTCGCACGCATGGATCGATAGGGGTGAGTCCAACATGGCGCTCGAGTTCACAGGCACCTACAAAATCCTCGTGCTCGGCGACTCGAATGTGGGCAAGACGTGCATCGTGCACAGGTACTGCGACGAGAGGTACTACGACACCTACATCTCCACCATAGGTGAGCACCCTGACCGCCCGAAACCACCAGCCCCACTCATTCGCCCTCTGTCTCTCGCTCGCAGGCATAGACTTCAAACAGAAGATCATCAACCTGGACGGAAAGCCCGTCAAACTGCAGATCTGGTGAGTGAAATTTTAATATCATTCGTCAAACGTTTGACAAAAATAAGAAAATGTGCTTTTCTTATGGATTTTCAAAACATTGATTTAAATATTCATATCAAAGATTTATAAAAAATTTATAAAAAAATGTGCAATGTGATTTGTATTTTTAAACATTTTTGTAGTGAAAATTTTGTATATTGATTTATTTTGTTATTTTTTAGTTTTCGTTCCATTTTCGTTTCCGGGGAAACTCAAAATCCTTGTTTATTGCGCGCAAATTGCGAAAATCGATAATTGTTGCTCACAGCTGACTCTGTATCCGTGTATTTTGTGCATGTTCTGCGCACTTTTGGGTGAAATTTCACCGCGCGCACTGACATTTTATTTAGGGGAAGTGGAAGGATTACCAACCACCGAAACTTATATGAATTTCTAAAAATATTGATAATAACCTGACCAAGTATGGTAAAAAAAAACTTAAAAAAAAAAATGATTGCATTACTTAGTCTTATTCGTTAAAATTCTTATCATGAAATAATAAAAAAAAAAATGAGAAAGTGCTTTTAATTCTGTAATTTTATCAAAATTAAATAGCTTCTCTATGGCATAAAAAAACCTTTCTTGGCTTCAATTACATAATACAAATCTGAATTTTTATTAATTTTAACCTATTAAAAGAAAAAGAAAACAATTTATTTAAATTAACAAATATTTGCTTCAAAATGCTTGGTTTAATTGAAATAAAGTGTATTCTTCTCTATTTTCAAACCCATCCTTAACTAATTATTAAAATTTTACGACCAACAGGGACACGGCGGGACAAGAAAGATTCCGCACCCTGACCACGGCCTACTACAGAGGAGCAATGGGAATTCTCCTTATGTACGACGTCACAAGCCTAGAATCTTTCAACCACCTTTCGTACTGGCTCAGAAATATAGAAGAGGTTTGAATTTTGAGTGAAATTTATTTTTGCATAAATAATTTTTTCCCAACATTTTACAGAACGCTAATCCTGATGTGATAAAAGTATTGGTGGGCAACAAATGTGACTACACAAGTCACAGATGCGTCGAGACTGAACGAGGAATTAAAGTAAAATTAAATCAAGAAATTTTGAGATTAATAAAAAAATAATAAAATGATGTGTTCATAGATTGCGGAAAATTTTGAAATGCCCTTCTTTGAGGTGTCTTGCAAACAGAATATCAACATCGAACGAGCATTCCTCACTCTAGCACGGAATATTCGAGAGCAGAGCGAGTCCAAGCAGGTGACGGTAATTACATTATTATTTTTTTATGGCAATCAGTTTCAAAAATTATGCTTCAGTTATGAAACGATACCTTACAAAAAAAGAATGAGAGTCTGGTTTACGTATGAAACTTTAAAAATTGTTAATAAAATTACATTACTTTTATTAAATAAATAATAAATTATAGAAACATATTTTTTAAAATTTTTTATTTTAAATTTAAATAGCTATTGTTTATAATTTTTATTTTTTATTAATTTTTTAACAATTTGTAGATAAAGAGTTTTATATTTAGTATTAAAAAAGCTCTTTTATTAAAATTTCTTGTATTTCAATAATATATTATATATGTTCTGATTTGAAAATTTTGATAATATTAACATAATTTAGATTTGTCTCAAATCCTCAACCCTCAATACAGGAACGCATAGATTCAATTTTTCAATCTTGTAATTTCTGTTATAAATTAAATTAAATTCCATAATACTCTTTTAAATAATAAGAAATAATTGATTAATATAATTTTTAAGGATCCATAATGTAAAAATCCTATACATGACGTATTGCAACTGCGTTCCAATTAACTCTATAATTATATAAAATAGAATCTTTTTTTTATTTAAAACCGTTTTTATATTTGATAGGTTGACCAATTTAAATCGACTTCAAAACAACAAAAAAAGCAGTTTTGACTTGACTCTAGAGATTGATTGAAAAGTCAAATTTACCAAACTTGAAAAAAATTTATCAATTTAATTGTTCGTGGAGACTTCAAAATTATAATTGAACACCAATATGTTATCAGGCTTTGGGCAACGATCGCGAAAAGAGCTCGTCGGAAATTAAGCTGAGCGGCGGCGACAGCACGCGTATCACGGAACAGTGGCGCTGCAACTGCTGATCACCCAAGACTGATAGGATTGACCACTATTTTATGCCTTGCTGGCGAGGAACGAACGATCACAAAACACACACACAAACACAAACACACACAAACGAACCGGATAAATAAATATATACATAATGAGAATAAAAAGTGAGAACCAGCTGCATTTCTACATTAGTGCGTAGTGTTTGCGCGCGGTGGTTGTCATGGCGTCGACGCCGACCATCATCACCCGCTGACGAAGGACGAACTGCTGACGGCCATGGCTGACCTGATCCCAGGGTACGACAAGGTCCGCACCGTCGGCAAGGGTATAAACTCCGCCTCGCACCTTTGCATTCCGCTTCTTTGGCACAAAGTCGCCCCCCTTCCCCCCGACTCTGTTCTTTCTTCGAATGGCGCGCGGATAATAATTAATTAATTGTTCGATTTTAAACTGCATTTGTATGATTCGGTGGTGATTATTGTTATATAAATTATATTATTCTACGTACTGTGCTGAGAACGGCGATATTATGTACTGTATATCTCTGTCATGGCTTTAGAACTGTCGCGGCTGAGCAATAAAAACTCAATGCACAAATAATTTGATTTCGGCCTCTTTCGTTGGGCAACAAAAAATAACAATGAGGATTTCATTTCATAAATAAACCTGCCAAAATATTTTAAATTAATTTAAAAAAGTTTTTAATTGTTATTCATAAAAAACCTGACCTTTTTTAGTTTTTCATTGGCAAAAAGTTTAGCGATTAATTTATAATTATTTTTATTTAAATGTAACTTTCACGCAAATCAGGAGCTTTTGGCCATGCCGTGCTCTACCGCAGACACAGCGATGGCCTTATGGTGGTCATCAAGGAAGTCCAGTTGACCGAACTGGAAGCGACCGAGCGGCAGTTGGCCCTGAACGAAGTGCAAGTACTCGCCAGTCTCAACCACCCAAACATAATCAGGTGGCTGCAAAATATTAAAAAAAAAAATATTTAATAATTTTTAACTTTTTCTCAAGATACATCCGGAGTTTTGAGCGAGGTGGGTCTTTGTTGATCGAGATGGAATACGCGGACGGTGGAACTTTAGCCCAGCTCCTTGGTCCGAGGAATGTTCCCCTCTCAGAAAGGGCCGTGCTGCACATTTGGTCGCAACTCTCGGCCGCTTTGGCCCACATGCACTCGAGAGGCGTTTTGCACCGAGACTTGAAAACGGCGAATGTCTTTTTGACTTCCAGTTTGCAAGTCAAAGTCGGCGATTTTGGAATTTCAAAGGTAATTAAATAATCGGAAATGGTGTTGAAAATTAATTGTGAATACAAAATTAGGTTTTGACTTCAAAAGCTCAGGCGCAAACGATTTTGGGGACGCCTTATTATTTGAGTCCGGAAATGTGTCAGGGACTTGAGTACGGATCGAAATCGGACATTTGGGCCGCTGGATGCGTTTTGTATGAGATGATGAGCCTCAAAAAACCGTTTGATGGCGAAAATCTGCCAGCTTTGGTGGCGAGAATCATTGCGGTAAGTTTTTATTTCAATCAATAAAGCGTAATTAAAATGAAAAAAAAATAATTTATTGGAACTGATTTTCAAATGGTTATGCAACTTGTAGAGTTCTCTTGTACACCCGGTTGCATACATTTGACAGAAAATTATTATTGTTACTCTGCATCGATTAATATTTTATTTATTTTCATTCAGGGAATGTACGAGCCTTTGGACGGCGAGAGGTACACGCAAGGATTGCTCGACCTAGTTGCATCCATTCTGCAACGCGACCCCGAGAAACGACCTTCGGCGGCGGAAATTTGCGAAGAGCGGCTGCCACCGCTGCTTTTGGGGCTTTCTCGGCTCCACCTCTCCATTCGGAGGAACCGGACGATCGTGTATCAATGCTCGCCAACGATCGAATCCATCCAGGCCGTGCCTCTGCCTCCCTCCGCTACCCTCGCCGACTTTTCCGCAGGACCTGACCACTGTCTTGCTTTGACCTCAGGTCAGATTTGTTTTTATAAAAAATAAAAAGATTAAAATTATTTTTTCTTTTAATTTAGAAGGCGAAATTTTTGAATGGAGGCCTGGAGAACTACCCGTCGCAGTCAGGGAAGTGCGCGAGCGTCGTTTGCGTTTGGTCGCCGCAGGTTTGGGGTTTAGCATGGTGGGAAGTGAAAGTGGGGTGTTGGTGTCCTGGGGTCAGGGAATGGACGGATGCCTCGGACACGGCGATTTCGAGAATCAAACAACACCAAGGATAATAGGTTAAAATTACTTCAAATTAAATCTAAGTCTTGGAAATAATTTGTATTTAACTAAACTTCAAAGTAGAAAAAATTTTATATTCATAGTCGACTGAAATTAGTCAATACTAAACAAAAAATAAACATTTATTTTTAAATTTCCAATAATTGTGCTCAAAATTTAGCATAATTACCTTATTTTTAAGTAATAATAATTTTAAATGTTTTCAGAGACTCTTTTGAGTTCAGACATTGTGCAAGCAAGTTGCGGGAATGACCACGTTTTGGCACTCGACGAAAACGGATTAGTTTACACCTGGGGGAAAACTAGGCTTGTAGGAAAAGAAAAAATGTATTTTTCTAGTTTAAATTAAATAATCTTGTAAATTATTTTACTTTTGAATTTTTTCAGAGCTCTGCCAGAAAAGGTTGAGGCGTTGGCAAATTTGAAAGCCAAGGTTGTTTGTGCAGGTCCAGGGTGTAGTGCCGTTGTGGGGGAGGATTTCACCCTTTGGGTTTGGGGAGACAACGCGGGCGATCGTTTAGGACTAGACAAGCCAGTCTTTCTTGGATTTAAAGTATTCAAAATTATCTTTTATCAGGTTTTGATTTAACTAAAATAATTTTAAAGAGCAAATTAGCAGTGGCAAATGTACCGACAAAAGTTGCGATTTCCGCGAGGGACGTTGCCTTGGGGATGGAACAGGCGATTGTGATCACGCCTGAAAATCGGGTGGTTGTGATTGGAGGACCGAGCAGTGGGCCCGTACAAGGAATAAAAGGACCGGTAAAAGTATGTCATAGCCAAGGAGTTGAAAAAATTACAGTCGCAATTATCAACGTTTTTATAACATAATTGCAAATATTTTTTAGTTTATCAACAAAGCAATATTTGATTAAATTCCCAAAGTAATTTCAAAATTAATAGAAGTTTACAAAATTTGCATAAACTCACCAAAAGCAGGATCGAGAGGTCGAAACAAAGTGTACTGCATTTTCCTTATCGCAAAATGAGAGAATATGATAACAATTTTGTTGTCATGGGAAACGCGGGCCCAGCTGGATACATATTCGGCAACGTTCATTGACTGCGCCTCTCTCTATACACCACACCGCACCTTCTTTACACTAAACTCTTATCTCGTTTCAAATAAGTCACCAAAATATTACCAAACACTTCAATGCTTTCTTAACTTCAATATTAAAGGCATTTTTTTGTTCTCTTGCCCCAAAATTTTGATTAAAAAAAAAAAAATAGTTGGCAGGGGTTTTGGACGCAGGATGCATTGCAGCCACAGACGACCAGGTGCTCTACTTTTGGGGACGACCCGAGAAACCGGCGCCCTTTTTTTCTCTTAATCTCCAGGGGTCTGACAGCAATGAGGAGGGCGATAACAATCGATTCCAGTCGCCTAAAGAAGTCTTGGCGTAAGAACTTTGCCAATATATTTTTTTTTAATTTGTATAAAATTTAATATTTGATAAAAAAAAATTCATTTTTGTTAATTTAATATAAAAAGTAAATTTTTCTTAAGTGTTTACGGTCCCCGACTGGGCGACTTGCAGACGGCGGGCAAGAATGCGTGGCTAGTGGTGCATACGGGCGCCCCACTGCCCCCGGGGCACTCCACCGCAGCTCCGGAGTGGTTGCGCAAAGAGTTGAAAGATGAATAGAGCCTCAACGCGGAAAAATTGCCAACATCTCTGCGGAAAAATATAAAAATTTGTCTGGAAGCATCAGCGTGTACGATTTGTACAATTAATTTTGAAGATTTTCCAATAGCTAAAATTAGTTAAAATAAGTAATTTTGATAAGTTATTTGTACAATGTATGTATACATAAAAAAAATTATTATACAAAATTAAATAATTAAATTTTATATATTAATTCCAATGTATAAATAAATAAACCAATACAATTATACATAACTAAATAACGTTTTCAATAATAATTTTTTTTACTCTTTATGATTAATACTAAAAAATGTGATGGAGTTTTGTTGTTTGAAGTTCAATTTACACTATCCAATATAATTTATAATTGTTAATAACTTTTGTTTGTATTGCCAATTTTATGTTAAATTGGAAATTGCTCACAATGAATAATAGAAGATTATTAAATTTACATTTAATTTTGCACTTTCTTTTCGTAGTTTTTTATCGCAAGTTGATTCAAAATATTCAAAATATAACTAAATATGAGTGTATAAAACAACGCCAGAGGGACCAAACAAATTTTAGTTTTTCTACATAATAATTTCCTTCCACTATGAACATAAATTAAATTTAAAGTAACAAATTTTTAATACTGCGTTATAATAATATTGTTCATAGTACTTAAATAAATTTTAATTCCTTTAAATTTAAAAAAAAGTAATAGTTTAAAATTTAGATAAAAAATTTTAATTTAATTGAAATGATTTTATTTATGTAATAAATTTCAAAAAATGAGTTGCTAAAAAAAAAACAATAATAATTAAAATCATAGTTTCATACTTTAGCAAAAAAGCTTTACCAAACATAATATTATAGTTTATTGAAAATACCTCATCAGAGTATTTACCAAACATAATGTATGTACCTTATTTACTCAATATAGTTATATTATTTAAAAGAAACAGCCACTCTGGCCACACAAATTTTATTTTATTCCGCATTATATGCTAGTTTCTATTCATGCGCCTGTATTTGCATGCAGCAAAGCAGTCAGCATGACATGTGTATGGGTATGCGGGAGGGGTGGTGCGAGGGGTGTGAGGGGTGCGCTGCCATCTGGCGGCGCACCCCTGCCGCTCACTTGCACGTAGAGCACCCGCTCGCCGCTTTTTGTGCGCGTGCCTCGGCTGCACTGGAGGCGACGTGTGACTCACCGCACCGACTATTGATCGACGCGCCATCTTGGTCGCACCCTTTTCGGCCGCTCTGCCGCCCCTTTCGGCCTCACGGCCGCCCCCATGGACTTTGGCTAGCTCCTCGGCGACCAGGTAAGCCATAAATGTCCACCCTGCGCCCTCCTGCTGTTGTCACCACCCCTGACACCTTCGGTGCCCAAAAAGTCGCGGTTGCCGACCTTGGAGTCACCCTTGGGGGTGGCAGGCCTCCGCCACCCCCGGTCAATACATATATTTCACACATTTGATGATTTTTTCCAATTTTTATAAAATTTTGAGCGCTTTATTAGAATTTGAATTGGTGCTCCGACTGCCAGGTCAAAGGTCAATTGGAACTGCGTTGATAACGCGTGGCCATTTTAAGGCCGCGCATAATATTATGCTTTCGCAGCTGTCATTTTTTGCCTGCATTAGGACGCTAATTGGGTTATTTTGGGAAAACGTCTCGCGAGACACATCTGGTGCAGCCCGAAATATTTGTCCACTTTCCATTTCTACTCCTTTGTTTTGCTATTCCCGGGATGAACCCCGGTATAACATATAAAAGTTCATCGGCCGATTTTATCTGTTGCATTTTGAAAAAAAAAATATTAATTGTTCAAAACTATTTCTTGATATTTTTTAGATTGAGACGCAAAGAAAGAACTTTGCCGAGTAAATATTACATTGAATTGTTCAAATATACTTGCGTGGTGCGCAATTAGCTAAAAATTTCTGTATATTACTTAAAGTAAAGATTACTTAATTCCTTGTTCTTTAAAAAAGCTTTTATTCTTTTGACAATGAGGCAGTAATTTTTTGTCTGCATCCAGACTTCAATAATTGCAGACTTATATATGTGCTTTGAGAGTGGCCTATTTACAGCAACAAAGGGCTCCATGCAGTGCCCACTCGTCTGTCTCTTTCCATACGCTCAAAGTAAATATTCAACTTCAATTAGATTACAACTTTTCTAGATCTCTCTTGCGAAACCAAATTTGTAATACGGAGAAGCCATTTCTCTTATAAAACAAAAAAAAAAGTGCAGATCGATCAATTTTATTTATATTTAGCCTAAACAAACATGCAGCAAAAACCGCTGACCGAATTGGCCCGAATCGCGCCTAATTGGTCAATAAAACCCAAAGCATGCGAGCTTGCACACATTGCTACAGGCACATGAATCTAAGCGGTCGGCCACGTGAGAGTATTTATTTTATTTTCAGAGCAGCCGACTTGATTAAATGATATTTGCTTGGGCTGATAAAATTGAAAAAAAGATTTTAGGGATTAAAAAAATTTGATATATTAAAATAAACGTAAAATTAGGAAACGTAGCAGGTCGATTTTGGCTTATAACTTTTTTGGTGAATTTAATAGATTTTTATTAATCAAGTCCCAAGCCTATAAGAAACTTGGCATGATTACAAATTTACGAGCTCGACTGTGCTTGTCAAATTCTTCGCGTGTGGCGCCCCAAAAGTCAAGTTCGGAGTTAATTGAAGAGCTAATTGCTAGAGAGCTCTGGCGTCTGTCCCTCTCCCGAGAGTACCGTACCAGCACAAAAATGTGACCGCGGGTACTCATTTATTTATAGGCCTCTAATTCTACACACAACATGAAGCGAGGGACAAAAAATTGAAAGCACACACGAGAGCAGTGTCACCCCACGTCGTCTGCCAACGAGAAAGTATGGCTGGAACGAGTGTGGGGGATCAACACGCTGAAAAGAAGGGTTAAATACTATTTTCGACTTGACATACCGCTCGCGTTGATATAAGAGGGAATAATGCGGATTCATTCATTTCGGCTCCAGCGGCTGTTTTATTTCCTTTTGTAAATATTTAGATCAGCCCGAGAAATTCCGTACTTGTTTAAAGGAAGATTTGCACAGAAACGGCTGTGCCAATTGAGAGCTTCAGCAAAACAAATCCATTCCCTGCTGGGAGGATTCGCAGCCGGATATTGCCCGAATTAAATATTTATATTAACGAGAGTTGAATAGAGAGAAACCAGAATAGAAAAGGTTTCACTCTTTTAACTAAAAACTTGTATTTGCGGCAATAAATTTATATTATATGTTTCTTAAAAGAGAAAGACCATATATTTCTGAAAGTTAACAATCTTAATTACTAGAAATATAAGAAATATTAAAATTAAATAATATAGAATCTCAAAAAATTATTTTAGTTTGAAAAAGAAATTGAAGTTAAACATTAAATATTTAACTGATTTATTTATTTACACGTCAATTTTTATTTTATATTAACTAATAATTTTTTTATAAGTCTTATTTTTAATTATTTTTCATTACAACTTTCATAAAATTAATCGGTCATTTTAAATCTAGCATTCAACTTTAACACATTTACTGGAAATTGAAATTTGAATACACCCTTTCTTTGTGGTATTAATGCATAGTTTTTTATCCCGCTCGCCTCTCCCAACCGGTTAATTACGCTTCATAAAGTTTCATTACTCGTCGCACATTCAACTTTTAACGAGGCACCCGATTTTGCACAAAAGCGCCCTGTTTGTTGTTTGTTTCCACCGCACACTTGGGTGGTTATTACGGTCCCGCAAATGAGCCGATAATGAGGCACAAGAAGAGGGTGAGTCACGAATTTTTGGCAAAAATCAAGCGCCGGGTGCGTGAAAATCCCCTGCGCCTGTTTTTGCAGGTGAAGTCACTGCGATCGAAAAAAGAGCTCTAGTGTGTGGTGTTGGCAAACAGTCCTGAATTTAAATAAATAAATAGAAAGAGAGAGAGACGCACTTGGTGGCCGCAAACGCACCAAAATAAATTCATCCTTCTTACATCCCTCCTAATGCTTTTTACTCGGAAGCTGTTGGGGCCGCGGCCAAAGCGGAGGAAAAAACCCGACCGAAGCTCGAGATTATTTCAGGACCTCTGCGGTGACTTTAATTTTTTATGTCACCTCCAGCTGCGAAGGTGACTATTAATAATTATATAGGAGCCTGTTTTTAGATTTCCGTTCAAACTTCTGTTTATATAAAGTCCATCCAATATTTCCATATAAGGACTGAATCCAAGTGAAAATATATTGATTGTCAATCAATTTGATTCAATATATTAAAAACTATTCATCTGCTTGTCATTAACTCATAGTTTGAAACTTTGAAATAAGGCATGTTTTTCTAATCATTTACTTATTGATCATTAGCCTACTTAAAATCAAAAAATTTACATTCTTAAAATTATATTGGAAATTTTTGCTGACAATTTTTAAATATTTTTTTCTTTCAAATTTCATATCGTAACTATAAAAATATTGACGCTTTTGTCATTTCCTTTTTTGGGCAAAAAAAACTTAGTAATGCTTGCGGATGCGGTGCTTGCGGATGCGGTAAATCGTGTTGAACGTTTTGTAAAAAAAAAATCATAGAAATTTTTAGCAGCTCCAAATAAGCATGTCGGAATAAAGCTGCTGGTTGCTCCTGATAACAATGAAAGGCACACAGTCTGACGTCATAATTTACACGAGGCAGGGTGAAAGGTCATTAAGAGTGGTCTCCCTCGCCCTTTGATTGGCCCTCCACCGACTATGGATTCGTGTTTATATAAACCGCACTGACGTAACCAGCGCTTCAGCACGGCCCAATCTTCCATCTCGTCAATAGCCCTTGAAGCATAAAGAGTTGCTGTTTGTCTCCAACGTACATGCTTGTTTATTTTGCATACCCGCCCTTGGTTAATTTTCTTATCAATTATGAAACTATGATTATGAGACTTGGTTGACCTGTGACCGTCAAAATTGACAGTTCATAAAAACACATTTCAAGAGAAAGCAAAAGCAATAATATTTATCCAAAATTATATTGGAGTGACTAATTAATAAAAACAGGTCAATAAAAAAAGACTATAATTATAAATTACTATCATAAATACATAATCCTAAAATATATTTAAAAGTCGTTTAAAATAAGAAAATAAGATATTAAGGAAAAATAATTTGATTGGTGTAAATTTACTATTTTTAATATCAGCAATGAAGTTTTTTTTCATCTTCATTTCTTTTAATTTCCTTACACTGATGTCCAATTATTATAATTTTTTTTATTAAATTTATACTCCTGTTATTAAAAAGTACGTATTTTTGCTAGCTTAAGAAAGTTAAATGTGCACAATACAAAAACGATCCAAAGACGGAAATAACAAGGAAATGGTGAAGGGAACGGGATTCGTCCTTCCCTTTGTGGCACTGACTTATCCTTTGTTTTCAAATTTGCGTAAATGTGAATAACCACAAAGAGCAAAATACGGTTTGGAGGTTAAGCGGTTTTAACCTGAAGTCCTTCAACATCCTTTGTTTTTGCAAAATCGCGGTTTAAAATAAAAAAGAAAACCAGCCAAATTTACATCCATAGAATGTACACGAAAATTAAAATAAAATCATTATTTCAAATATCATTGTAGCTATAAATTGGCAATTTTTAAAAAATTTCATTGGAAACCCTTAAATTTATTTATATTTGATTAATTGAAAAAAAGCGTATTAAACGAAAATTTTGTTTTTATAAACAAACCCCCGCCGTGAGCGCCCCTCTCGGTCCCCCGCCCCTGGTCAGTGTGTGCGTCTAGGGGAGCTGCCCGCGAGAGCGCTAGAGAGTGGTCCAGAAATAGCATCCGCAGTGCTTGTCTGACTATGTCCCTATGCTGGTGCTTGCGCTGTGTCTGATGACCAAAATCCTGGAGTACTCCTCGGGCCGGGTCCTGTGCGTCCAGGATGACCCGGCCACGCAGGGCCCCAACAAACAGGGGTCCAAGCGACTGCCCTGCCGGCGCAGGGCCCGCCGCACCAAAACGCAACAAACAAAGACCGAGGAGACGTGCGACAATAGGATTAAAGAAGGTAGAGAGCACCAAGATGGCGACCACTTCCGCCGGACAGGGGGCCTCGAGGGTGCGTTTGTGTGGGGGCGGTGTAAATATCAACAAGACCGGCAATTACGAAATGAGCATTGCGGCCGGTCGTTGAACAGACGTGACTCATTTACAAATGGGTTTGCGAAATTGGATGAGTGGGAGAAATTAACTTACTTAATTGAGATGTGCAACAGATTGGGGTTGGCGCCATCTTAGAATTTAACTCGATTTTTTTCTGCAAAAGTTATTTCGGTTGTACTTGCTAGAGTGTTCGCTCGCTTACATACAGAAAACCGACGGCCTCTCTTATCATTGGTTTGCCAGAGATTATAAAAATGTGGTGGCGTCAGTAAAAAAAAACAAATTAATTCCAAGGAGAATTCTAAAAAGGAAAATAATAATTCAATATTTTCAAAAATAAATGAAAAGTATATGTTTGTAATTAAATTTCTTAAATAAAATAAGAAATATAAATAATTGACTATTTTATATAAATTTACATATTATAAATTAATTGTTAAAAATTACTTGTTTATACTATCAAATTATTATTTATTTATTTTGTTCTTTGAAAATTTAAGACAAGCCTTTTTACAATTAAATAAATAATTAATATCATTATTATTTTCCTTGCTTTTAACTTTTCATATTAGCGAATTAGTATGAAATTAAATCAATTATATCCACATTTTAATTTTAAGTTTTTATTTTTTTATTATTCAAAGTTACATGGTTTAAAAAACATGTAGCTTGTAGCTCGGTGTAAATTTTGTACGGCAAATCTGCACACGAATCGAAATACTATAGGGCAGAAAAAGAAAGCCCTTGAGTGCGAAATGCACTTGTGTGGCGGCTACGCGACGCGACTGCTTCTTTATTAGTCACTTCCTGCATTAATTCAGAGCATCTGGCTCTCTCATCAATCGAGTGAGCGACATTATTGTAATGCCCTTCTCCAGCTTGAAATTTTTTGAATGGCTGTCGAGCTATATGTGCGCGTTGAGAATAATAAACTGAATGTGTGTGTAGAAACCATCTCGAATATTCCAAACTTTTTTTAAAAGCAAGCAATTTTATCAATTTTTAAAACGCGAAAAAAAAATTTCCAATTTCATTAATTTATAATTTTCTGAATAACAAAATTTAGTTGTGGTGTGTATAATTATAATACTTGAAATCTAATTTAATTTTATATTTTAAGAATAAACAACAATTAAATAAATTTTATTTTTATTTGATTGCAGAGAAAATGGGTGACCCAAACTGCAACAACCGCGGTTGGTGCGGCGAGGGTTGGCCCCGGAAGGGGCTGCTCTCGACCTTCAGCATGTCAACGTACAACGACCTGGCCAGGGATCTGGACGCCAACCTGGCGCAGATTGATATGGACGACGACCTGGACATGCACTCTGTGCTTACCACGGTCAACCACTATTCCGACTCGCAGTCAGACGCGTCCAGCAAGGTAATATAAAATAACACTTCAATTCCAATCACGTGTCTTATACAATTTCTTTCACTCCAGATTTAATTTAATGCGGAAAGAGTTGTTTTCTGGCGTGCAACTGTGTTATACATTATTGAAACACGATTTTTGTATGAAATTTTACAAATTGTCTCCAGACACGAATTTTCGCCTGATAAAATTAATTTACAGTTGTCTGTTTAATAAATTCTATCGTCTTTGCGTGCAGCGTACATCGGAATCAATTTACAATTTTCAGCGTTTCCTTTTTGAGTGAATTTGGCTTTTCGATAAGTTTCAGGAGAGTGTGTGCCGGTCAGGGCCTCTTTTCTCTCCAGTCAAAGACTCGCCCCTGACCAATCTGACCAACATTTCTGTCGATTCTCTCGACCTCGAGGGCGACATTCTGTTGACCTGCCAGGCCAACAAGGACAACTACACGATCGCGTTTGAAGACTACAGCACAGCTGGTAATAAAAAGAGTTTTAAAATATTAAACTTAAAGGGCTTGAAAACAGAAAAAATTCCAATTTCAAGGGCCTGAATGGCCTGATCTTTCTTGTATTGATTCAAACTTATATTATATAAAATTATTTTTTATCAAATTATTAATGGAAGGTTTATCTAAAAATATTAATTTTTTTCCATGAGCAACCAATAATTTAAATCGGAAGCCTACCAATCACGACATGAGCAAATTAATTAAATTACGCTTGTAAAAAATTCTTAGTTTCCTGGTTAATTATAAATTAAATGCCTATCTTTTTAATGGTATGATTTAAAAGTACGCAAGAAACGAAATGGTTATAAATTATTTTTAGAGATCATTCTAATATGATGATAAAATTTTCTTAATTACAATTTATATTTACTAAGATCCAGCACAAAATTAAATGAACGATTAAGTTTTCATTAATTCATCGGGTTTCCATTGGTAATTAAATTTAATTACATTCTTGCAGGTGAGGACAGTTGGTGCGGGAGCCGCAAGCTGTTCGATGTGTGCAGTTCAAGTTCGGACGAAGGGCTGGGAGCGGGACCTGGGGCCCCTCTTAGTCTAGTGAGGCGACTCTTCCTTAAGCAGCAGCAGCGGAGTGAAGAGAGGATGAGCACCTCCAGCTCGAGCGAGCTGGACAGTTCCAGCCGGTTCTGTCCAGCCAACATCAATGCCCTTCTCAATAAGACTAGAAAGGTGAGAATTTCATTACCTACATCTGAATTTCAAGATTGAAAACCACAAAGTGTCCTCTGCAGGTTACACAGGCAACGCAGACTGAGGCGCAGAGTTTGAACCAGAGCGTCCAGACGCGTGCGCCATCGCAGCCACCCCCGACCACCAGCAGGCCGCACCTGCAGGTGTGCTACCCAAACTATGCGTTGCCTGATCTTTCCTTCCTGAAGACCGCAGGCACCCCTCCCGGGGCCACTGTCCACCTGGCGCCACGAGGACCTCCAATAAAGGCGGGAAAACCCTCGGGACGCCCAAGGCCGTTTTCCTTGGATGACGTTGAACGACTCAAGGACAAAGGGCTGTCCCACGTGAAGGACTGGGACAGCCTCAACGTCCTGTTGCCTGCAGAGTGCAGGCAGATCTTGGAGGCATCCAGCTCATCCTCAGGCTATCACAGCCCTGGAACTCAGAAGTTGAGGAAAAAGGTACAGAAATCTTATTGTTGTGAGGAAGATTCAAAAGCATAACCAGACAAAGGTTGAATTAGCTCAGACCTGTGTCTTTAACCTAGGCCTTTGTCAGGTTTTAGGCTTCTGAATGACCCTCAATATCAGAACCGGAGGTTTGATTTTATTATTGATTCTCTCAGGGCAGCAAGGACGAGTTGAACAACAACCCTCGCTGGGACCAGCCGACCAGTGAAGACGTGTTGAGGCTGCGAGCTCAGGTGTCTAGTCAGCTGCTGAAAACGATGCAAGTGCAGTTTGCACCACCAAACTCCCCATGCCACCCCCCAAAGGACGACATCCCTGAATCGATCGCCCAGCACCGCATACCCTTCAGCCTTCCCCTCAACCTGGACCTTTCGCGCGTATCAGGTATTTATCAATTTAACTGAGTAAGAATTGAGTGGAATATGTTTAAAGGATTAGGAACTTTTGCAGACATGGTGAGCACCATGCGTGTCGCCTGCCAGCAGTACTGCTCCTGCCTGTCCGACCCCGACACTCTGCAGACCGTGGCCCTTCAGCAGATTTGTCCCGCCTTGACGGACATCCTGAGCCACGGACTGCGACCTGAGGTGGACACGGGCTTCGGCATGGTCTCCAATTCTGCATGGCGAGTTGTCGAGGCGGCTGCCCACAGCGGCCAGATCGCCAAGGCGCTCAACGATCTGCTGATGCGCGTCAACGCCGACGACATGTTGACAGAGGGACCTCTCAAGGTCAACGCCTTCATATTTGGACTTATCAAGTAAGATTCTTGAAATATTTCGAAGGGGGAAATAATTTTCACCAAGAACAAGAAAAATCCTATTGGAACTGTGTTAAATTAACTAACACTCGAACAAAAGTTTTTCATCATTACCAAAATTATCGAACTTGGAAAACTTTAATTCCGCACTAACATTTATTCCAAAAATAATTTTCTAAAACGCTTTAAAATAATTACATTTACCTGCAATTCTTATTGGATTGTCAATTTTAATGTTTAATTTATTTTAAATTGTCTTCAAAACAAAAATCTTGTAGTTTAATTATTTTGTCACCTTCGTTTTTAATTATCCTACTTGTGGTGAATGTAGAGAATTAATCGTGATTTTTTTTTTAAATTTTACAGCGTTGGTGCCCTAGGAGCTTGGTTGTCACTTTTACGGACGCGCGAGTCGCTAATTCGAAAGCACTACGGGTCCATCGCCTTCCTCGCCGGCGCCAATTCCTCGGCCCGGCAGCACTTTGACGCCGTGGTGGCCGCGGTCGAGTCTTTGCCAAGGCCGCCGGCCCCCCTGGACCTGCTGCTTGAGGTGAAGCGGTTGCAGCGTGGCCTGAGGCCGCTGCTCAGCCGCCCTCGCTCCTGCGTCCACGAAAACCTCAGTCTGCAGCTGGGGCAGCTGGGCCCCGAGGAACGCAAGCAGCGCCGCTGGTCGGCCACTGCTTCGCCCAAACTCGCGCAGGCCCTCGAGCGTCTGGTGGCCGAAGAGGCGGCAAGGGCCGAGGCCTCCTCAGAAGGGCCTTCTGAGGCTGATAGTTTGGAAACCAGGTAATATTTTATTTTTTATATTAATTTTTAATATTAAATTATCGCTATTATTAATATTTTAAGAAAATTAACGGAAAAAAAATTGAAATGTAAATATTTATTACTTTTCATTACATATACGGCAATACTTTTTTGTTTGTAATAAAAGAACTACATAATAGTTTTGCAAACATAATTATATAAGTTTTTAGGTTTGAATATTTATTTATGTTTTCATAATTTTAAAATTGTTCTATATTATGTTAAAACTTAGATTTGCTAAGTGGTCACCACAATGCCCTCAAAATTCATAATATTAAATTTATACAAATTTTTACACAAATTTGCCAATTTACAAGGAAAATAATTAAAATGCATTAAATTAGAATATTTTGTGTTATAAAGGTTAATTGATAAAAAAAATTTCATCCAAAACTATCTAATTATTTTTCTCCGTGTTTTGCAGGGATCGATTTAAGAAATTGCAACGTCAGTGGGAGTTAATGAGCCGACCTTCGAGGATTCCGCGGCTCATAAACTCGCCCTCGCGACCCATGGCACCCTCTTGGCCGCCCGCCCATACCCCTTCGCCCCCTCGCCCAGTGGAAATGAGGAACAAACCCCTGAAAGCGCCACCCCCAACGCTTCCCAAGCCCAAGGCCGTAAAACCGCAACCCGCTCCCAAGAAACCCATCACCACGAGAGGACAGCCGCTGAGGTACGTTTAATTTCAATTACGTTCGACGTCTATTTTAATTTAGAGAGTCATTGGAATAATTTACAATGAAGACACTTTCTATTCAAGTTACATAATTGTTCATTGATTGGGACACTCACTAATTGAGCGTTTGATTCAGCTTGCCCTCAGGCACCTAAATAAATGCGCAACAATACGGTTTGCTGATTTAATAAATGACAATTATTTATTAAAGATTGTAAAATTCAACAGTGTCATTTGTGATATAACGATAATTACCTGCGCAGTTAGAATTTTAAAATAAATATCATTTTCAATAATTTATAGTGTTATGTAACTAATTACAAACTTATGATTGTTAAAATGTAAACCATCTTTATTTTATGCAGTAAAAGGAGTTATAATTCCCTTAAAATTGGGAGTTGTAGGGCGTGGATCCAAAATAGTTTAATTTTGAATATTTTCCTTTTGAGAATTTTCGATTTATTTATATTTATTGATTTTAAAAATCATCAGTTTACCTAAAAATTAAAAGAAATTTATGAAATAATTCTGATTTTTGTAACTTAAAAATCAAATTATATGCGTTGGCTACAGAAATTCAAAGGACCTGAAAAATTTTCACTTTATTTTGTTTGATACTGTTTTGCAACTTTTTTGCAACCACTTTTTAAGGGTGGGGGGGATGTTAAATCTACAGCATTATCAAATAATAAAATTCAGATTTAACTTCATGAAATAATTAACCAAATATGATCTAGTAAAATAAAAATAAAATGATTTCAGGCGAGTGCAGACTGTAAGGCATCGGTTGGGCGCCGAGTCGGGCCACCTGAGTTACGACAAGGGTCAGACGCTGGAGGTGCTGGTATGCGTGGACTCGAGGTGGCTACTTTGTGCCAAGGGGGTCCTGAAGGGCCTGGTGCCCCGCGAAGACGTAATGTGATCTCACTCAAGGCTCTGGGGCATCAACGCACGACCCCCGACGGCCCGACCAACCGATTTTTTTGACTGAACAAAGAAAGGTTTGACTGAAACGAACAGTGCAATGTGCGTGTGCAATTCTCTCATATGACGTAAGAACAAAAATTCAAAGTGCAGCATTTACTTGATAAGTGGTTAGACGAAAAATGTATAATAAAATGCGGTAAGTACCAAGACGTAATTATTAACCTGAGGAGTATATTAAAAATATATATATTGCGGAAAAAAAGAACAACACTAAATTACCTGTAATTATGTATATCTCCACGCTATCTGATTAAGATGTACCTTAGCTGGTAAGACGTAAGTAACCTATCGCAGCTTACAAAATTACTAGCAAGCATTGTAACAAGTCGAAACTAACTGTGCAAAGATCAATAAAAAAATTTAAAAAAAAATATCACAATACATAGCACACAGCCTGAATTTTTAATATAAATAAAAACCTCTATTATTAAAAGATGATGATTTTTTTTTCATCAAGGTCGTAGGACATTGGCCTGCTTCTTTCCGGTTTTTTTTTTTAGACGCATAGTAATTAATTTTGTTTGACTATTATTTTTTTTTGTCCTGCTTTAACGTGGGCAAGGTTATGTGATTGTTTTGTGTGAATGATGCGAGTCGCCGAGTGTGAATTGGCGAGCATGAAAGCTTTAGATATTGGTGCTCGGTGGATTGTGAGAAGTCCTTTGCTGGTCCTTCACGCCCTCAGGCACCTCTCACCAGCAAAGGCGTGAAAATTTTTGACTCCGATTAGCCAAAGGACACAAAAGTAGGTGACTTTTCGATGCAATTAAATCGCCAAACTACGGGTCTAGAATTTACATACACGCCAAAATGTTTTTCGTCAGTCCTGGAGATTTCCTTTTTTTTTACTCAAAATGGAAAATATTTTGAAGCAATTTAGGAAAATTTATAATATAACAATAAACTTTTGTCTCATCTTATTAGGGACTTTTGAAAAAGTTAAAAATGCAATAACAGTTATTTTTTGCTATTCTAGACTAAAAGTTTGATAATATTGATTACAATTATTAATTAAAAAAGTTTAATTCAAGCTAAAATATTTAATTGTTCATTGCAGCTTCATCAAAATTACAAAATAAAAGTAGATAGTAGAATCTTTCAAAACCACTGCGGTTTTTTATTGCATGAAGGAAGTCGGACATTGAGACAGAATATAATTATTCTGCCTCAATTTCCTTAAATAAGTTCGTTTTTTCCAGTTTTGTTTATTATTATTATTTTGTTCATAGGATTATAAAAAGTGTAAACTGTATCAAAAAACTCCTAACAATCTCTTTTAAGGCTAGTTTTTAAGTATATTTGAAAAAGTTATTAAGGAATTAGTTTAATTAAAAATAAGAAATGAAATTATGTATAATTTTTCGCTGAGTTTTTTTAGCTGTATTCAGCTATATTTATGAAGAAAAAAGAGTGTTGGTCCTTCATACTTAAGATATTAATTTCTATATAATATTAAAACTTTTGGTTTTTAAAAATTTAAATTAGGTCACTTTAGTTTTGGGACTTTCGGATGTAATTTTGTATCCAACTACTAAAAAGAATGTTATATTTTTTTTTAATTGTCATGTTGCCATATATTTTTCTGCCGAGGCTGTTTCAAAATTACAAAACTAAAGAAGAAAAAACGTTTACAAAAAATTTCGTAAAAAAATATTGCTGGAAAAAAAATATTTTTATAGTGAAGAATTCAAACATTCAATTTTTGTCTTTTTTAAATCGCTAAAAATATCGCAAACCTTGTAAAAAAATATCCAGTTTTTCAACAACGGAAAAGAAATAATAAATAGTTAATTACTGCAGCCATAATTAGTGATGTTATTGGCAGGAATATAATGAGGCATTTTTATTCGTAGTGCAATTACCAAAATTCAGTAACACGCTCGCAACAAATTAATATATATACGTGATAATCTTATTAGCGCAAAATACCAATTTTTAAAAGGCCGATATTGTAGCAAATAAAAAAAAACGAAGTGGCGAACAGGTTTTTGGCGCAAAACTTCAGGCTGTCGAGCCGTTAAATGTAGAGTACTCGCAAATTTCAAGCAGGTAGACGAGGTCACGCGCAGTTTGATTTTATTTCCTCTCCCTGAGCCAAAGAGGAAGGAAATAGCAATTTTATCAATCGGATCTGGTGCGGAGAAGATTTTTTTCGTGAGCGGAACAAAAAATAAGCGCGGAGGCCGCTAAGCCAATTGTAAGGATAAAGTTAATGCATGATTGTAAGGTTGACACTTTCGAATCCCACCACGCGCAGGCAAAATTATTTAAGGGCCGGCAGCGGGGCAGTCGCCGCTCAGTCAGTCTAGTCGGCCGCACGCTCAGCCCAGGTCAGTTTTTTACTTCCTTCCTTCCTCTTTGCCTCGAGAACAACATAAACCACATTCAGGTTTTGACATTGCCTCGGTCCTTCATACTCAAATTCTTACAAATATTTTAATTATGAAGCACATAATTTAAAGTTTTGAAATTTAATATTGGATCGTAGTTTTAAATACGAGTATTTTTTTCTTTTGAAAAATTGCAATACATTTTATTGTTAAATTTAATTAGATCATTGTCAATATCAAGATTTTGGTCTTAAAATTTTAAAAACAATTTTTTTAATACTGAAATATTTAGGAATTAATTTAAATTACATAGTTGCTATATTGGGACCACATTTTTAAACAATTGGTGTAAAAATTTTTGGTGGATAAATTTCAAACAACTTAATCGCTAATTCATCGTACTTGAAAATATTAGAGATTTTTTTTAAATTTTTCACAATTTTAGTTACATCGATTCATTAATTGAGAGTAGAAGTTTTTTTCTTCACAATTTCCATTATCTTATTTGAATTATTTTATCCAATGAAATAAAAAATATAGGCCGTGCTGTTCTGTCACATTGTTCATATTAAAATGCTGCAGCACTCATGCAAGCTTATAAGTATTTTAATATTTAATTTATTAAATTAATTTAATTACTAATTTTTAATTTAATTCATTAATATTTTAATTTAGATTTTTATCTGGATGATTTTTTCCTGAAATTACAATTTTGTTGTGAAACTAGTTATTATTAAATGTAAACTGCAAAGATATATTTTGAAACAAATTTAAATGCAAAATAAATAAAAATAGAACAAATAATACTCTTTCTACTTATTTTACTTGTGTCTCGGAATTTAAAAATATATTTTTTTTTATTCATGTTCTTTAATCACTTAATTACTATTCTTATGATCTTATAATTTAATTAACATATCCTAAATCTCTGGAAAGCGAATCACAACAATGTGAGATGATAAATTAATTATGGACTAATTGTTTATTTAATAAGAAAAAAAATAATTAAATCCCTCACTATTATAAGATAATTTTAAACTTTTACTTTCAATCTCCTTACCAATAAAATAAAGCTAAGAATTTATTCCTCACAAATTCACATGTAAAATTCTCCAAATACGCCAGACAAAGGAATTCGGAAGATTTTCGTGACTCGTTTCAAGCCACCTGCCTCAAATTATTGCAAGAACGTAAAAATCCGAAGGTCAAGTTTAATTAGCTTGCAAAACCAATTGAAAGCCATTACACGTGTATGTATTCTAATTTCCAAGAATCGTCGCAATACGCGTTTGCAAACTTTTACTTTTGACTCCCATTGTCGGTTTATTACTCTATAAGCTCGCGTGCAACGCATAAAAAAGTGCTTGATTGGCGTGCGAATCAGAGCGCGATCGATCGGTGAAAAATCACGCATAATAACTATGTATCTAAGAGCAATTACGCGCGTGTGTGTGTGGACACTAAAGAATCGAGGGAAATACATAAATCTGTTCTGGACATGTGGAGCTTGATTGAGCAAAATATTATTATGTGCAGTAGCGCCAAAGGATAATAACATTGCCGGTTCTTGGCTCGCCCCGCGACGACCTTGCCGCGCGCACCGTCTCTCTTGAATAAGCGCAAAATTTTTTCTAGCCGTCCTAGAGAGACTTTGACCGATTTTTTTAACACATTTTTTGCCGGCACAACCTTGATCTTGGTCTTCATAGTCGAGGAAGCAATTAGATACCAAGCCCAGTTTTTTTGGGGAGTCCAAACCCATTGGAAGAGCTTGCAACCTTACGCTTTTGCTCTTAAAGGGAAAGTAAAATATTTGGAGCATTTAATCAAGTTACGTTAATTTAATTCCATATTTAAATTGCTTATTTTTAGGAGCAGGAAAATGTTGCAATAAAGTAAATAATTTGAATTGAAGTAAAAATCAGTTGAAATAAAAATAATCAAATTATTTTTAACTAAATTATTAATTTGACGAGTTTACTTATTATTATAAAAACTTCAAGCTTGATTTCCAATTAAGAATACTATGATTGTATTAATTTTTTTAATTATAATTTATTTCAAAGAACTCGGAGGTCAATCAAATATTATTAAATTTCCTTCCGCAATCAATCAAAAGTCAATTATTAAATTAATCGGAACTAGAATTGAAGGTCCAGCAAATTGGAGCAATCATTATTCAATCCATTGTTTTTCACTTCCACCGTTTTCTCCTGATGGCTTGTTGACGGAAGACTATATATGGTGTTTGCGAAAGGGATCAAAATTTGTTTGACCAACTCCTTTATACTTGAAGAAATCTCTTGAAATAAATTGCGTATCTCTCTATTTTTAGAGCGCTTTCTTTGCATTCCCTCTTTCCTTTTAATTTTATACTTCAACACTAACAAATTGCGTCGCAATAGTTCATACATCAGACACAATTAGTATTACAATTGAGGACAAAAAATGCATCTTTCTCGGCGCAACAGGAAAACCCGCTCAATGAATTACCTGCTCACGCAATAGTCAATGATGCGGTTCATCGACTAGATTTTCTCTTTTGTTTGATTTATAAAATTTTAATTGCGACTTCATATATTTTAAAAGTAAAATATTTTCCTGTTCAAAACGAGTCAAAAATATTGCAGGTCATAGTCCTGACGATTGATAAAATAATTAACATCACGTTCGAAATGAATGATCTAGGGTCGACCTGAGCGAGTTGTTATTGCCTGAGGCGCGGTCTGCTGTTTACGTCATTAACACAGTCGGACTGACCGCTGAGATTCGCGTTTGTTTATACCCACAATCGGCACCTTTCCTGTCCGAGTTTCCGCCGAGAACTTCCCCACTGACGTCTCTGCAAAACCTCAAAAATAATAAACCGTCCGCCGCCAAAACCGGTTTCTTCTTTATTTTGGAATTTTAATTTTTAATTTTGCACGTAATAATGGTTCTCGCAGCAAGGCCACACGCTCTAATTATACAATGGATGTGCTTCAAAGTGATTTGGAATACATTTGGAATTGTCGGAAAGAAAATAGTATTGATATAATGGGACGTTTCTCAATGCCATAAGTAATTAGAACGATGAAAAAAATTCAAACGTCTATAATCGTGTATCGAATCGCAGCCTTGGAGGATCCATTCAACTTGCAATTTTCAATTGACCGAGCACCTCGACCATTGTTGCGAATGTTGCGTCATAAAAATTATTTAGGGCAATTGCTTTGATTAATTAAATAATATGACTGTTCTTCTTAGAAATGCAATTATTCACTAATTATAAAAATATTGAGCTTTTTCTTTTGTTTCCAATCTGCAAAAAAATTATATGAGAATTAAATCATTAAAAACTATTTTCGTATAAGAAATCATAACTTAACATCTTATTATCCACCAAAATATCAATTATTTTTAAATTTTGCCCATTTTTTTTTCAAATAAAGCAAATCTATTTAGCTTCTTTTATTTTAATTTTGCAATAATAAAATCAGAATAATGTCATTTAAAACAAAATTAATTAATATTGTTGACAATTTTTTTTTTATTTTTTTTGCTTTTACCTTTTTTTCAAAAGAATAATCCATTATTATTAAATCTAATTATTGTAAAAGAACTTTCATACTGGACCTATTTAAAATTTAATTTTTACTTTTTAAAATAACAATAAAAATTTGAAGTTTCAGAAAAGCCCCTCAAAGTTTGCTTATGAGCCAGACACCAAATAAAAATACTACCAAATTATTTGGCGTAAAAAGGGGGAAAAATTTAAATAAATAATATTACTAGTACTTTGGAGTGGCGGGAAAGAAAACAAAGGAAAAACCGGTCGCGGTTCATATCGTAGTAAAATCGTCCCCACTCGTCGCGCTTGTCTCTGAGTATATAAAACCGAGGAAGCCTCGAAAACTAGCCTAACTCATCCTAAGCCTTTTGACCAACACAGATGCCAGCCTCCGACGTTCCCACGCTGACCGTCTCCGACGACGAGTTGGAGACGGTGGAGGTGCAGCACTGCGCCCCCCTCTCGTCTGCCAGCTCGCGGTCCAGCACCCCGGCGGCACAGAAAACCAACCCTGACGAATCTGGAAAATGGTTCGTCAGCCTGGCCGAGAGGGGACAACACGAGGAGTTCCTCACCAGGGCCGCATCCCTGATGTTGCAGGAGGCGGTCTTCAAAGTTGCGGACAGGAACAACTCCAGGTTTGTCATGATTTTAAATATTCTTTTAGTTTAAAAAATTAATAAATTTATTTTTTTTAATATTATTTCTTTTTTTACTGAAAGGGATTTTAAATTTCAAGCTTCTTTTCTTTTATATCAAAGTAAATTAATGTTTTAATTTACAAAATTTCTACAGTCAGCCCTTTTCACTTTTACTTTTGTTTTAGAAAATGATAAAATTTAACTTAAGAAATTTTGATTTTATTTTATGTAATTAAAAAAGTTCAATTTAAACTCTTCAAATTATTACTATATTTTTTTTTGCAATTTTAACAAAACATTAAATTAACCAAATGAATAAACTATAATGCTATTTTTTATGTCATCAGAGTGCTCGAATGGCAAGAACCCGAGCAGCTGAGGCGACTGATTGAGTTTGACGTGAGCGAGGCACCAGTTTCTCAGGACCGTCTTCTGGAGCTAATGGAAGACGTCATCAGGTACAGCGTCAAGACCGGTCACCCCCGTTTTGTAAACCAGCTCTTCTCCAGGTAAAAACTTGAAAATAAAGTCCCAATAAATTCTATATTTGTAATTTTCCCGACAGTGTTGATCCGTACGGTCTGGCAGGGCAGTGGCTTTGCGCCGCCCTGAACCCTTCGGTCTACACTTACGAAGTGGCCCCGGTTTTCACCCTGATGGAGGAAACGGTGCTCACCGAGATGAGGCGCATCGTCGGTTTCGAGCAAGGCGACGGTCTTTTCGCCCCTGGTGGCTCCATGGCCAATGGATACGGAATTAGTTGTGCCCGTTACGCGAAATTTCCAAAAGTCAAGGTACATAAATTTTTTTCCGAAATATATTTAAATGTTCAATAAGTTCATTACATAAAGAAATTAAGAATTTATGAAAAGAAAAACTGAAAAATTATTTAAAATTAAAACTAATAATTATAAAAAAAAAATGAAGTGAAAAGCTAAAATTTTGAATTTGAATGTTAAAATTGAATAAAAATAAATAATTGTTTTAACAATTGTGTAACCCTTTTCTCCAGACGGAAGGTCTGCGCAACCTGCCTCGTCTTGTGGTGATGGCCTCTGAAGATGCCCATTACTCAGTGCAAAAGATGGCCGCCCTGTTTGGCCTGGGCGCCGACAACGTGTACGCCGTGGCCGTGGACGAGCGTGGCCGCATGAGTCCCTCCGACCTGGAGGCGCAGGTGGAGCGCGCTAAGTCCGAGGGCGGTGCCCCCTTCATGGTGCTGGCCACCGCGGGAACCACCGTTCTTGGCGCCTTTGACCCCATCGAGCAAATCGCCGACCTGTGCGAGAAGCACCAAATGTGGCTGCACGTCGACGCCGCCTGGGGTGGCGGGGCGCTCATGTCCAGCGTTCACAAACACAAACTGAACGGAATCAACAGGTATGAATAGAAGAAAATTCTAAATTAAAAAAAAAAATATGCAATTTTGTTATTTCTAATTTAAATTAAAAATTTTATTTTAATTAAATTAATGGAAGTAAAATATTTAAATTGACTGAAAATATTGGTTTTATCAAATTTTGGTTGAAAAATAACAGATTTTTATTATTAGGATTAAAATAAATTATTATTTTTAAGTTCATTATATTAACATTGCAAATTTTAATGAATTATTCATCAATTTTTAAACTTTGAACAACCTAAAATAATTTTAAGATATTTCATCAAAATTTATTTTAATTAGGATTTTTTTTTCTTTTTGTTTAGAAAAAGTGATTGAAATATTTATAAAACACATTTTATTTTTAATTTCAGGGCAGACAGTGTGACCTGGAACCCGCACAAGCTGTTGGCAGCGCCTCAGCAGTGCTCAGTTTTCCTCACCAGACACCGCGGCGTGCTGTCCGAGTGTCACTCGGCGGCAGCCACGTACCTCTTCCAGCAAGACAAATTCTACGACACCTCCCTCGACACCGGCGACAAGCATGTCCAGTGCGGAAGAAGAGCCGACGTCCTCAAGTTCTGGCTCATGTGGAAAGCAAAGGTGCGTTTTTTTTTAAGTTTTAAAAGTGCCAAACTAATGATATAGAATCTTTCAGAAAAATTCAATGTTTTTATCTTGCTAAAAATTCAAATTTGAAATTAATTTTCCAGGGTACCAGCGGTCTTGAAGCGCACATTGACACAGTTTTTGACGCAGCAGACTACGCCACAGCAAAACTCAAATCCAGAAATGACTTCCGAATGGTTCTCGACGAGCCCGAGTGCACAAACGTTTGCTTTTGGTACGTCCCACCTTCCCTCAGAGATGTCGACCCTGCCACTCCCGAATTCAACGAAAAACTTCACAAGGTAATTTAAAGTTTTAACTTTTTATTTTGCAACTGCGATAAAATTTAATTTTGACACTTACAGTGTCTAAATGGAGAGAAATGCACTTTTGCGGAGGAACTTTACTTATGGATTTTTCAGGTGGCGCCGAAAATCAAGGAGCGAATGATGCGCGAGGGAACGATGATGGTCACGTACCAGCCTCTGCGGCACCTCCCCAACTTCTTCAGGCTGGTGGTGCAGAGTTCTGGAGTGAGCCACCAAGACGTCGACTTCTTTATCGACGAGATCGCCAGACTGGGGGCCGACCTCTGATCGACTCGCCCTTTTGATTTTAATTTATTTTAACGCTTATTAAGGCCGAACCACTCAAACCACCACTTTGGCCACACTCTCTGTATTATTAACACACTCGATAACCTTCGATGTAGACTGCTGGGCAAAAATAAATAGTTGTAAGATTGAATTCCCCGAAGTTATTATTTTTGTCACTCCACTTGATCCTTTCCGCAAAGTTGAAAGATGCGTAAAATGGTGCCTACCTTCAGGCCTGCTGCTGCTGCTGCTGTTCCTCCTCAGGGCTGAAGATGCGGTCCGAGTAGTGCAGGAACTCAAAGGCCACCTCCACCATGATCAAAACAATGATCATCCACTCGAGGCGGACGTGGTGATGGTCACTCAGTTTGGCCGAAAGCAGTTCAACCAGCTCGAGGCAATGGCTGAGTCTCTCGTTCATCACCCTGGTTCGGCGGGAAATGCTCAGGTGGCCGATCATTCGCAGGTACAGCGGCTCTAGATGTTCTCGGTCCCAGTAGAAGTCCGGAGTGTCTAGCAGGTCTGACCTGAGGTTGATCAGATGGCGGAGGGCAAAGAGTTCTCCAGTTTTGCGCAAAACTTCCGACTGGCTCATTCTGATCGCCCGACCAGCCTTCAAATCCTACAAAAATTTATTTAAAATCAGTTGTAAATTTGTAAGCAAAGCTCAAAATATGAACTGGAAACTTATAACCATTTATTTGCATTAAGAGGATCTTTTTTACATAAAACCTAGATTATTCTAAAAAAAACCTTCTCATAGGAATTCAGGTTTCTAATGCATTAAGGTTTGCATAAAAAATTTATTTACCTCAGTCACATAATCAATAGAGTCGATGTACTTTTCTAGAGCAGCCTCCCACGAGCCTAGCTTTACAGAAAGAGCAACAGCATTGGAGACAGTAAATTTTTCAAGTACAAGATTGTCTCCTCCATGCCTGAGAACTAAGTTGCCGCCATCTAACCCACTCTTCCTGTAAAATTTTTAGATAAATTCATTTCTCAATCACATACCAATCATATACCTGTTTTCGCTGTAACTATAGGTCATGGCCTCAGTCTCTTCGACGGCTACGTCTTCAGAAAGGCCTTTCAATTCGAACGGCTTCAGAAAAGAGAGCAGAGCTTGACTTTCCATCTCGTTCATGTTCCAAACAACGACGGAGCCTTCTCGAAAAAAGAAAATGTCTCGAGGCTCCGAACCAACTTCGTATTTAGCAGTAGCGTGGAGAACCTCTAAAGACAAAATTATTAACAAAGATAAAAACTAAAGGTCTCAGCCAGCCGCGATTTTTTGGGTCACGTGACCAGCCGCCAGCCGAAGGCTAAATTTTGTAAATCTTAGAATTGCTTGCAAAATTACAATTGCTAGCAAAATTGCAATTGCTAGCAAATTACAATTGCTAGCAAAATTGCAATTGCTAGCAAAATTACAATTGCTAGCAAAATTGCAATTGCTAGCAAAATTACAATTGCTAGCAAAATTACAATTGCTAGCAAAATTACAATTGCTAGCAAAATTACAATTGCTAGCAAAATTACAATTGCTAGCAGAATTACAATTGCTAGCAAAATTTCAATAGCTAGCAAAATTGCAATATCGAGCAAAATTACAAACTACCGGGAGGGAAAATTAAATTTCGATTTCTCAGCCATCAGCTGCGCCGGCCGCACGGCTGCTGAGATCTCTAATAAAATCATTTAAAAAAAGAACAAACCTGGTTCAGCGGAACCGTCGTCGTCGACAAACGTTGGTTTGTACAAGTCTTGTTTCAAAAGTGCATTTCTCAGCGCTCGTAAATCGTACTCCTCAGCAGTCGGAATGGCGCTCATGAAAAAGTGCTGAAAAATTAAATTAACATCGCATATTTATATTATAATTATCTTCAATCTTACTCCTGGTTGAAGCTTTTTGCCCTCTTCTTCCAATGGCTTCCTTTTGCGCTTTTTTATTTGCAATGCCGAGAGAGGAGGAGTAGCAGGGCCTCCTGCACCTGTACTTGCTGGTCTTCGAACCAAAAGAGAAATCTTGGACAAATTTGCCCGCGGCAGAGGGACCAGAGCCCGAACAACGGACGAAAACATTTTTCCTAGGCTGAAAATTCAATTTGGAGTTATTTTGTAAACGTGTTTGCATTTAATTATCTAATCACCTGAATTATTTATATTGACCTCTCGTGGAAATTATGTTGGTTGAAAGAATTTTTTTACAACACTATAATTTTTCAATAAATTGACATGAATAGAAAAGTTATTAAGTCCACAGTCAGCTTCTGTATTGTATGCTCATAAAAATGCAAGATGATGAAAGTTTCATAACGTAATCCATCATCAAACTATTCGCAAAATTTGTCTAAAACACACCGGAAAAAACCATGCTTTGCTCCGCTTTGCTCATTCCATGTTGTGGATGTTGTGTTTTGTATTTTTAATTTTTTCCGCAGGACTAGCAACGCTAGCAACATTGGTCTGTTCACTGCTGCCCTCTGGTGTTGAAAATTTAAACAGAGATTGAGAGACGATTTTATTCCCAAGTTCGCATCTCGTTTGTTGATGTTTGATCCAGGTTTTGATTTCGCAAACACCTGACTGTGTAATTTAATTTTGTTTCTCATGTACTCTTTCACATTTTAATGTCTTATCATACTGTCGTGTAAGTTACACGACTTTCTCTTTCCAAAGACGAAATAAGCAATAATAATTCCACTTCAATTGGTTGTGAATAATTTCGACCTCCTTCAGATTTCAGCGGTCAAATAAGAAAGTTTGTTGTTCTTACTTTTATAATCGGTCTGATTTTAATTTTTTGCGTCATTTTATAGCAGGATGAAGAAGAAGAAGCCTGCCCCAAAATCTGTGAGCGCCCAAAAGGCCAAAGGAAAGTTGGCGCCAAATTTGCCAAAGAAGGCTCTTTCAAAACCTGCTGTGAGCAAACCAGAACCTGAGGAGACCTTCTGCGTCGGTTGTAAAGCTGAAGGCACCACCCTGGTGCCTCTGCCTAGGGACACAAATCCTAAAGACCTGTTTCCAGATTTTGTGGTTAGGAGAATTTCCCATTTTTATCATACATAAGAGTAAAAATTAATGTAGTTGTTATGTAAAAAATATAATAACTGGCTTCTTATCCCCCATTTTCTTGTACATAGTGTTATTTTTGCTTAAATTAAGGATCATTTAATTTTTGCTGAAAACCTAGTCTAAAAATTATTGGGGAGAAAAAAGGAGAAACATTTTATTTCTTAAATTTGAGAGATAAATATTTCAATTTAATATCATTAGCAGGCTGTAAAAATTAATTTTCCACGTAATTAATGCTGGCTTTTAATCTATTGCAGAGGGACAAGAGCCGTGGCTGCATTAGCTGCGTCTACCATGCCATTCTGGTGCGCCAAGTGCGAGACGCCATGTCTTACAAACTTGATGCGTTCAGCTACGAAAGACAATGCTGCCTGGTGTGCAATGTCACCACTGGACTGGTTGCCCTGAAGGAGATCGAAGGTGCCAGGGAGGCAGTCAGTCACCCCATCATCAACGCCCAGAACATTGAAAAGTACCTCAAAACGCCATGCAAGCTGTGCACCTGCTGCGCCTACCCTCTGCAGTGGCTGTACCAAACGTGAGAACTTGTTTTCCATTATGTGTAAAATTTGATAAAGGGCAGCTTAACACTGTTGTTCTATTTGTTCTTGCTGCTCCAGTATCTTACCAAAGATCAGCAAGGAGAAAATTTCACAAATTTCAACACAGAAACCAAAGCGGTATTTAATTATAAATCATCATCACTTGCACTTTTTGATGAATTTTAAATGCACTAGTTTAATTTCACTTTATTCTATTTTGCAAATTAGCATGCAATCTTCACACAAAAATTGTATACTTTGCTTATAATTCCTTAAAAACTTAATATGTACAATATTTTCTTGTGAATGAAACTCACTATTTTTGTTTTGTAAATATTATTAATTTTTGTTGGCCGCTTTTTTGTTAATGCTTTGATTTTATGTCATCTAAAATTTTTTTAATTCCATTTGCAATTTACAGAGTCCTGTTGCGAGACGAGCCACCAACACCACCTAAACTGGCCCCGAAAAGCAAACCAGCTGAGAAAGTCACCATATCAAGATCTGGAAGGCGTGTGGCCATCAAAGGAGAATCTGATGATGATGAAATTGAGGAGGTCACTGAGAAAGCTGCAACAACAAGATCTGGTAGGCGTGTGGCCATCAAAGTAGAATCCGAAGACAAAGAGGTCACTCAACCGAGGTCATCAAGAAGTCGCCCCTCAACTTCCAACACCCCCAAGCCATCTCCGAAGACTCCGTCAAGAAATGAAAATTCAAAGCCAGCTCTGAAAATTGCCAGCAGAGTCCAAACTCCAGCAAACAAAAACACAAAGAAGGTTGATTTCAGAAATTCCCCACCCAAGGTCAAGGAATTCTGGCCAGACGTGGAACTGACGAGGACCAGAACAAGACCAAATCCTCCTAAGAGGCCAGCAAAGGAGACTGAGGAAGTGGTGCCTGTCAAGAAGGTGAAGGTTGCAGATCGGTCCACCCGGCTCAGGGCCAGGCAGGCAGTTGCGATAGCAAAGAAGGCCAAGCAGAAACCTGCCCCAAGTAGAAAGAGGATCATTCCCAGGACCTTCAGGCCAAGCGTCAGTCCGCCTCCCCCGAAGACGTCTCACCGAGGAAAGACCGAGTTGCAAGAGAGGGTCTGCGAAACGTGCCAGCAGATTTTCTACTCTGGAACCGAGTTGGCCCTCCATGAACTTCGGCACACTGGGAAGGTTCTGCGTCTCAGTTTGGACAAGTTCGAAATTCCCGAGCCTCTGCAGAAGATGAAGAAAAGCTTCCTCTTCCAGCAGCCAGTCAACCTCGGCCAACCTGCCCAGGAGGAAAAGGTGGTGGAAAATCCACAGTTTAATTTTGGCGAGCCGCAAATTTTGGCGGATCCTGCGCTAATAGAGACCCTGGAGGAAAAAGAAAAGGTCAAGGAAGCACTGGAGAGTTGTGCTGAAGTCGGAAACGAATTTGAGGACCAGGAAGAATTCGGCAGCATGGCCAAGGACGATTCCGTTGATTCCACGCAGCAGGTGGTGGGGAACTTGATTGATAGTCTGGAGGAAAAACCAAGCAAGACGAGTAAAGAGGAAGAAGAGGACAAAGCTCCTTTGATCACAAACATTCTGTCCTTCGACTTCTTCCCTCCAAGCAGCCCAAAGGAAGTGAGAAAATCCGTTGACAGCTCTGACGAACTCAAGACTCCTCCTCTGACAAGCACCACTGCTTTGGCCTTTGACTTCTTTGGTGCCGAAGCCGAATCCAGTCCACCGAAAAGCAACTTGTTCAGTCCTCCAGTGGTAGACCCTGAACACGCCCTGAAGGACAGTTCTGTGAACCCCTCTCTTCCTCTCCCATCAGACTCTGACAATTCTCTGATTTTGACGCCTCCAAAGGGAGTTGCTGTTATTGACGAGATGTAGAATGTAGAGAATCAGAGCTGGACTCAAGTTTAAGGTATAATTTTATTTGTACATAATATTTAAATGGTATATCCATCCTTTTGTTGAGCATAAAAATCTATATGCTCGCCTTTGAACAACGGCATTTAAAAAAAAAAATATTGTTAGCGGAATAAACGGATTAAATTTACAAATTGAAATCACAACTTCTAATTCAGACTGAACCCGTATAAATAACAATTCCAGTATTCAATTCACTTCAAAGTCCCGTTTCTTGAGCAATCCAATTTCGAAATCTGCTGAGGTCTGTGAACACAACAAAGTTTTGGAGGTCGCACGAGAAGGTCTTCGGGTCTCCCAGAGACAGGCTGACCACTCCCCTCAGATACCACCGGCCAGGTTGGTCCACCATCTGGCTGTACATCCCTCCACCGCTATCTCCATTGCACGGTCCTCCCCCTAAAAATTAAATTTATTAATTGCCAATATATTATATTATTAAAAGAAACCATCTCGAGCTCCGGCACAGAAGGTTGTGTTGGATGTCAGGTACAAAAAGTCCCTGTTGCTCCGAAGGCACTCCTCCTGGCTCACAATCGGCATAGTAGCTTGCTTTGGCTCTTTTGAAACCATATTCCCTTGTTCGTCCTTCCCCCATCCAACCACCTAGTCAATATCTCTTCATTTTTTTTCTTTTTTTAAATTTTGAACCAACCTTTCCAAAGTTTTCAAGGGACAAAAAGGAATCCGTCAAGCAAACAGGCTGCACATTGAAATTGAAATCAGCAGGAGATTTTAACACAATTATTGCTAGATCGTTGAAGCTGTGGTGGTTGTCACCCTCACCCCATTGCGGGTGCACGATTATTTTGGAAACCTGCATTTGTTGTTACGTGATTCATTTATTTATATTGAATTTTAGGCAATTTTACCTCTTTTGCTTGGACATTCCTCTCCGCAAAATTGAGCAAACTGTGTTTTCCCAAGTAAATGGTGACACGTTGTGGTTTGACCACTTTGGATTGAATTGGATCCTGCTGGACGCAGTGTGCAGCTTTTTTTTCCTAATTATCAATATCATTATTTCTTGTGTCTACACTTTTCATACCTGTTATGACGTGTCGTTTTGAAACCAAACTCCCGCCACATTGAAACGCCTGGCCGCTGGCCGTCGTGAAGAAAATTGCGGCCAGCCAGGGCCACAAACCCTTGGTGACATTTTTTCCTTGGACGACGAGGTTGTTCCGCAACACAGGTCTTCCGCATTCTTCATCTTGAAAGAAAGATTTTTACCAGGGAAAATTAAATTAATTTTCAGATGAAAATACCTTGGCCTGAAATTTTCGGGGGCGAGACTCTGGTCAGGGTCACCCCAGGGGTAGTCGGCCGGGGTTGAGGAATCCCCGTTTCTAAAATATCCGGAGAATGAAACTCGACTTCGATCTCTGGTCGATTATCGTGACGTATATCGATCATTGGTGGCATTTCCGAGGTGGTGCTTTTTGGATAAGTGCTAAAAGTTATTGGAATATCCGACGCCAGGGTGTGCACCAGCGAAAGGGTTGTGTGTGTGCCCCCAATTTCTACCAAAAATATATTTAAAAGAGGGATAAATTATTTTCAACTCTTTTAATTTTCATCGTACCTGGGTTGTTTTTGCACAGCAATTCATTATTCACAACCAGCTCTGTTAAAACTGGTAAAGGGTTTTGAATGGGGAAGTGCACTGAGTATCCAATTGGTTGACGCTGGCCGTAACTCAGTCTGTTCACCACGGAATTTTTGTCATCTGCTAGACTGATTTTTCCTGCGTACGCCTGCAAATTAAAAAAAATTTAAAAAACTTTTTACTTAAAAATATCAATAATTTTAAATTTTTTTATTACTCACGGATGTAAGATAAACGGCTACTATGAATTTCACCGCTATATTGATTCTGGTGCTATCTGCAGGTGGCGGAATTTGCAGGGAGCCGAGAATTTGTGCCGTGTGAGTGTCCCTGTAGTAGTAGAAGAGGTTCGGACAGGGTGATTGAGGGATGGTGGGAATGGAGCAGGTCCATCGGATTTGCACCACCAGCGCAAAAGCTAGGGTCCATGAGCTGATCTGCATCGCAAAATCCGAATTTTGGTGGTTTGCAAATCTCCTCTTAAAATCTAGCTCCAGCTGCAAACGGAGTGAGGACGTGATCGTGTGTTTGTTTTAAAATTAGCAAATGAAGGTATATGAATCCCTTCTATGGGTACTCATCTAATTGAAGTCTAATTTTTGTTGAAGGCTAAAATTTTCAATTGAAATAAGGAAAATCCTTTTCAATTCATTTATTCTCTCGCAACAAAGTCATACAGCAATGGAAAAGTCACATTGGGAGAGAATTGGCAGCCAGCCTTTTCTTATATTAAGTTTATCTTCAACATAGTAGTATTAATTAATTTCCATTTTTTTTTTAATTAGCTCTTCAAATGTATAAGATTAAATAGAAAAAACATTCCATGATTTTCCTCAAAATTTTAAATACTCAATCAGAGTAATCAGACTCGAATTTAATAAATTTTTAATTAAATTTAAGCTTATTATGATGTAATAATTTATTGACACTCACCGTTTATCAGTTTACCGTTACATTCCACATTAAACTCAGTGTTAAATCCATCCATTCCCCCTTACTTCTTAACTTCTCTTCTTGATTTCGGGGTGACCAGAAACTAAAATTGCTTAAAAGGTCAAATTTGGAGAGAACTTCTTGAAAACGTCACTACCTCTCAGAAATGTTCGCCTGCTGTGACACATCAGCGGAGAAACTAACCAAAACCTTGGTGCACCTGTCACGCCGAAAAGTGTCCACTTAACTCAATAAAATGAAAGCAATTAATAATATAAATTTACCAAATTAATCGACTGTGCAATGGAATAGCCCGAAGCGCAAAATACGAACGGGTGAAATATTTAGGCGATAGCAATGCAGTCTCTGTTTGTTTGTGACGACGATCGAATAAGGAGTAAAATTACTATTCCGATCTTTTGCCATTTGGATTATGTGACTACCGTGCTGGCATACGAAGCGGAAGCCGCGGAATTTTAATAAGGCAACAAGTGACGCAAATCCTACACAGAGACACCACAAAAGAAAAGGGATGGCCAGTTTTATTGGCAGTATCTTTTTGTTTTTTTCTATATCGATTCAGGGAAAATGAGCTTTTTTTAATACAAACTAAAATATCAGTTTTCATCGTCATTAAAATTTAAACAAATTTAAATTCTTGGTTTCTTATATGGGCATTAAAATAAATTGTGTATTAAAAAGTTATAAAAAATTATTAAGGTTGAGGAACTTTTTTTTTAAATTTGGATATTTTATTTTTTATTAATATTTATAAAATTTAATTTAAAAGACTTAAATATCCAGACAATAATTTTATACTGGCTTATCTCCTGATTTTCTTTTGGTTTGTCAGAATATTGGGCTGATTTATTAATACACATCAGTAAAATGGTTCATTTTGAAATAAGAACAATGAAATTATTCAGAGGAACAAATGCGTTGCGTTTTTATTTGTGTAACTGCAACAGTAAGAAGTACAATATTGAAGATCGTCTGTTCGTTACAGAAGATTCGGAAAGGCGCGAGTTGCGCGTCCGCGCGCAAGATTTTTATTCCTTTAATAAGTCGTATTGATGTAAATGAATTCGAAGAAGTTTTCTTCACTTTTTATTTATATTATTTATTTCCTCACAAGAATCAGATGCTGCAAGAGTAGAGCTTCGTTTGAAATTTTTTATTTAAGTGACTTTTTTACTCTCACTTTTCTCCGTATATATTTTAATCGTCGTCGTCGCTTACACAACCTGCGCTCCTATACTTTCGGCAGCGTTTGAAAATTTTATCACAATCGTCAAAATCATGATATGAAAAAACTATTAGTAGAGAGAAAACAGAAATCGCACTTTTTCAAAACAATATATTATTTTTAAATGCATTTCGGTTGATAGAGATACAGAATGAAAGAGAGAAGTTCGTTTTCAGTTTGCGTGATTTCACCAGAGTAAGAACACTTTAGGACAATTTACACAAATTTGGTGATACCTTTCGCCTGATCTTTTTAAACTTTCAATTTTCCTTTTGACATCACTTTGGTTTTTCTGTAGAAGATTTTTTCACACAAGTATGCAGGCAGTACATAGAATTCTCACACAAGTTGTGGTGGAAGGAAGGCAATTAATTTTCACAATATTTATAGCACATCAACAAAGGTTCGAGTGTTTCGTACTTAGTTAAGGAAGGTATTTTTAACTCTACAGTCAAGACTTGTTTGCTGCGTCATAGAAAAAGTAGAAAATTAGTAGCAAATCGGGTCAAAGTACATATTGTTCCTAAGACGAAAGACACATCTTCTTGCTCTTTTTCTCTTCCCTATAGTCCGAGAGAATGTTTCGCTTTTAAAAGAGAGCAGATAAAAGTTTGTCATTAATATAGAGAAGAGATTTCCTTCTATCAGTTCTATGCGGTTTTCCTTACTTGGTAAATAGCTTATTGGGAGAGTCTCTAACGTACTTTTATTATTATTAGCAGATTTTCAAATGTGTAGAATTTTATAATGGAAAATTAGTTTTGTGTAGAGTTTTAAAACTTCATGCAAAGCCAAAAACTTGTAGATTGAGTGCAATGTTATTATTACTTTGGATATATTTTCAACAACTTCTCAACAACAATTAATTTTGCTCAAAACAAGATGTTAGAAAAAATGTTTGCAGGCTACGAAATTTCTTCAAAATGAAGCGAGATGTTTTTTTTCGTATCAAAATTACTTTTTTCCATTATCAATTCTCCAACACGTCCAATCAGTCTAATACAATCAAACCTATAGTCTAAGTCTCAATCGAAGCAGAGAAAGTCGAGAGTTAGTCTGCAGGTTCGTAATTAGCTTCAAAAATATCTACTCGCTATACTCTAGTCACTACACAACACTTAGGAACACCGAGGATATATTCATTATTATTCTTAACCTTAAGTAAATATTTAGAGGCTTACAGCACAGGCTTTTCATCGTAACGGGACAGTAGATAAGCGTATCGTGGTCAAGAACTTCATCTCTTACATTGAATTATTTTTCACTCTTCTTAGACAAGTCATAAATATTTTATGTATTAGGCAATAATCAATAGAGATGTAATAAAAACTCATTGGTAATTAATGAATAGGCCTTACTCAATTACAGCAAAATCATTTCTTCGTCGTATAGGCCCTTTCTGTATCTAGTGTGATTCATTTAATTTTTGTGTGTTTACTTTCGAAACGTAAAAACTAATAGCGCATTGATTATAATACTTAATTGTGGAATGTCAAAGAGGCTTTCGAGAGAGAAATTTCTTATTCTACTTCAAGAGAAGCAACCCTTGCAAGAGTTAAAATTTGTTTTTGTGTGTGCTATGAAGATATTATATTATTATATAATACTGCCTTTAGAGGTTATAACTTTGTGCACTGAGAGAACTACTTCTCATAATAACGAGATTTGTGTTAAAATTAAGACTCAAATACCCTCCCTTTAAAATATGAGAACTGATTAGTTGTTTAGAGATGAAACCAAATTCCAGATCTCTAGCATTTCTACGACAAGGGTACATCGAATATTGCGGTTGATAACATTCACGTTTGTCTCAAAAGGTCAATATGGATCACTGGGTTGGTTTATTTGTGTGTAAGAAAATGTATTGCTGGTCTGTTTTTGGTAGCAGTGACAGTGGATTCTAAAGGATTTTCTCCTCACAATTGGCACAAGTACATAAGTAATTCAATTCGGTGGGGCAACTCAATGAATTTTGAAAAGTGTGCTTTTCAATATTGTTTTCTACTACCAAATGCATCCACTGCTCTGCAGACATCAAGAAGGGTAACATTTTATCACAGCTGACACTCAATTAAAAGGGATTCTTTCAAAATTTGCCCAAGTGTGGATTTCAGAACACTTCTTTTGTCACTTTCCTTCTTATTTTTTTTTTACATTCAAGAAAACGTAAGGTACGATTCTTCACTTTCGTCTTGTTTCAAGGAAGATTTTTCGATCCCCGTACAAATAATTCTGCAGTCTTGTTAGGAGTAATTAATGATAATTTATGCCAATGATGCTTGTGTTTGTGTTGAAACAGTTTGTGAACAATTTATATATATTATATGAATATAAATCACAACATCGATGTACATTGAAGACATTCGAAATAAAAAAATGATTGATTTGTCACAGGCAGTAGTTTGAGAAATGCTTTCTTTTCTGTGTGCTTTGCTTCGTGCGCGCGATTGATGAGGCGATTAATTACTTTTAATATAGAGAAAATGCCCTCGAAGTGAATATGTGTGTGTGCAGGCATTGCAGAGATGACCTAAGCATGCATTTGTACTCAAAAAGGGGCCAACGCTGCCCCTTTTCCTACTGGATCTAATAATGTGACGACGCAAAATCCTAGAATTCGATGATCGGCTTTCGATGTTTGACTAGATTCATGACGCTTGAAGATCTTTAATTCCTTGCAGTATTCGTTTGACGTGGCCGAGCTTCTCAACACCCAACTCGCGCAAGTCTCGCCGACCTAGGGACAACAGCTCCCTGCCCTGGATGTCGTTTTGGGTAAAGTTGTCCCTAAAATGCAATTATAAACCATGAAGTATAAAGAGTAAAAATGGATAGATCAAATTTTATACATTAAACAAAAACAAAAAATTAAAAAATAAATTAACAATAATTGCATTTTTTGCATTATGCATATTTCTCCAAATAATGTTTTATTTTTAAATTAAATTTAACTTATTACTAATTTTGATTAACATTTGAAAAGTCGGAAATATTAAAGTATTTTTACCTGTACTCGGTAAGCCCAAGAGCAGTCAGCCAGGTTGCAACCTCCTGGGCACCCCAAGTCTCCACAGATGCCCTGCCGACCCGCGGACTTTTGCCACTTGCATCTTCGGTGCTTGATCCACGTCTCAGATTTTTAAGTTTGAACCAGCCAAGACCAGGCAAGGGTGAAGATCTACTCTTACTCTGAAAGATTAAAACAATATAAAATAATTTTTTTCCCTCAATATATTGATATTTATTGTTTTTTAATTAAACGATTCTCAATAGTGCTCAAGATAAATCTCTGTATAAAAGTTAATGTTATTTCTAATAACCTCAATAATTTTATCTTTAAGTTAACACTTAATAATAAAACTTTATCCATTAAAAATTAATTTTTTTAAATTAAAACAATACCTGGTCATCAGTCAAAAATGAGATGAGTCCAGTGTTGGGGTCTGTCTGGCAGTTCTGGAGCTGCGAAGCCATGGCCAGCAGGGCTGCGCTCAGTTTGGGGGTGAGTTCGTCTTCCGCCTTGGGCAGGTCGGACACAATGTGGCACGCTTCCTCCTGCAGTTCTCGGCAGGCGGCCACCATGTGTGACACCATGACGGGCAGTTCGGAAGACTCGACCATTTTTCCGCCCGGGTGCAGCGCCTCCAGTTTGCGATTGGCCTCTTCGGCAAAGGTGTACAGCGAGTCGGGCAGTGAGTGGTTGGCAATGAAAAGCAGCTTCACGCACTTGATGAGCGAGGTGGCCGCCTCGATGAAGCGGATCAGCGCCAACCTTTCATCGTCACTGATGTTGTGCAGGGCGCCGCACTTCTGTGGCTCCAGCAGAAGAGGCTTCTCATGGCTCAGCTGCCGCTGCTTCTCCTCCCACGAACGCAGCGAGTTCTCCAGGGCGCGGTTGCGACACAGCATCTGCATCCGGTTTTTGTGAATGATGCGAATTATGCCTGGTGGTTGGACCCACGCTTCTCCGTCAACCTGGAATAAATTGATGAATAAAATTTAAAATAAAAAGAATTAATTTCTTTTTTGTAATTTAAAGATTTAATAAATTTAAAAGTTAAGAACTTACAAATTAATAATTAAACAGAAATTAAATTTTATGTAATTTAAAAATTTAATGAATTTTTTGTAACTTTAAAATTTAATAAATTTAAAATTCAAGTTCAAATTAATCATTGAAATAATTTGAAATTAAAAAAATTTCAATGAATTTTTTTGTAATTCTGTATTATTTGATTAGGACTCATTGAGAAACATAAAATTAAAATTGTTACCCATAAACTTAACCCTTTAAAAATCACTAGGGGTTTTTTTAAATTTAATAAATATTTTTTTTTTTTAGATAGCTTCAAAGTCTTCAAACTAACCTGTACTGGAACTCCCTCCTCTCCTATGATGGAAATCTGCACTGATGAGCATTGGGCGATTCGGTGGCTCTGTGCACTCAAAATCCTTGAAGCTGCCATCTGCACTGATCCAAAGACGGCTACCACCTCGAGGACGCGGTCGTCAAAGGAAGGCGCTAAAAAGCACTCATCACTCTTGGAGCCGCCCCAGAAATTGGTGCCGCCCATGAAGCTGGGAATGTTGAGGACGACGATGCCTTGCAGAGCGGGTAGAGGAATGCGCTGGCCGTCACACTCCAGGGTGAGGCGCTGCTCCAGTTTCCTGCAGGAGCGTTTCAGCGCCTCTCTGGAGCCCAACACCCCATACCACATGTAATTCCTGGCCCTGGACCTGCACTGCTCAGGGTGTTCCTCCCTCTTTTGGTGGAAGGCTAACGAGATCTTGGCGTCGATGCCGATTCCAAAGTAGTTGTTCATGACGCAGCGTTCGTAGAATCCTTCAAGGAGACTGTCGTCGTGGTCCATCAGGGGAGAAACGGCGGCGCAAAGGGTGTCTGCGTTAGCCAAGAGGGCTTGACTGATGAAGCCAAGACCTCCAGAAGCGCCTCCGGTGACGTTCGGCCAGGCCGGAGAACGCACCAAAGGATTGATGATGGGCAGTTTCCGGTTTGTCTCACCTTGCTCAGCAACACTTCCTGAAAATATGAAGAATAAATGTGAGGAGTGTTGAAAAACTTTCATGTGCTAAAGTATCTTGCAAGGTTAAATAAACCCTGACCTCAATACAAATTTAATGAGCAATTTCCATGCTTGAGCGTTTAAGAAAAATTACATTGAATATTGAATTCAATTGAATTAAAGTTTTTGCAGAGACACACTTTTTAAACAGTTCAGGGGTCAAATGAAGGTCACTGAAATTTTATAACCTTAAAGGTCCACCCTGGTAAAATAAATTTAAACTTCATAAAAAATTTGTTGAAATTGCAAAGAGTTTCTGACCTCTTGGTGAAAACAGGCTTCCTCTTGGATTAGGATTGAAGATGCTGTGCCTGGGTGAAGGCGACCTTTGGTGAGGGGCAGGCGAGTTAGGCGCCTGCAGTTCTCCAAACAAGCAGCCGCTGCTGATCCTCCTGGTGGCGTTGCTCCTGCGACCGTAGGTACCATCGTGACTTGACCTTCGGTACTCAGCAAAGAAAATAGGGTCAAAGAGCAGGTTTTCGTCAGGCGACGGCAAGGGTGAGGGCGCGTCGTGCTCAGGTGACGGGGCGCTGACCACCACGCAGGGCAACTCGATGCCCCCACCGCCACTTTCAGAAGTAGGAGGGGGAGAGCTGACCTCGATCGGGGGCGCACTGCAGGGTGGGGAGCCTGCTTCAGATGTGGGGGGCAGCAGGCCATCGGCGAACATGCTCGGAGGCGGTGCGATCCACTGATCCGAACCAAAGGATCCTGGGGAGTGGGGGCGGAAACCCTCAAAAGAGGCAGGGGAGGGGGGACGAAGGCAGTCAATAAGGGGTGATGGAATGCGGAGACCTTGGAATGGAGACGCTGGTCTGGAGTGAACAGGGTTCACTAGGAGGGGGAAGTTAGTGGTCAGGGTAGGGCCCAGATAAGAGGAAGGGGGCAGGAAAGGTGTTGATGACGTCGCAGGGTCAATCATGCTGGCGGATATGACTGGAAACCTTGGCCCGTCCTCCTCGTCTTCCTCCAGTTCTGGAGGTTGCTTCAGCTCAATCAGGTTGCTGACCTCTGACAGTGCAGTCTCCAGACTATCAGCCTTGGACACCACCTTGAACCACACCTTCAGGGTTCAAAATTTGGCCGATTACTTTTAAACTGAAAGTTTATAATCACCTTTCTCCGGCAGCTTGTTCGGCGGTGAGGGAATTTCTGCCCGTTGGGCTGACTCTTGTCGGCAGTGATGGCGTCATCATGGTCGTGCAGGGCACCCTTCAACGCTGTCAGACTTGCTTTCAAGGCAACCACCTTGATGGTCAGTTCATCGCCCTCTTCTCCTTCAGCCAGTGTCAAAAACCTCTCGGCTCGATCACACAACAACCTTTAAATTTTACAAAGAATTGGATGTTAAATTAAATTTTGGATGACAGTGAGGTGTCCCTGAAAAAGGTATGATTTTTGAGGGAAAATGGTTTTGTTTTTGATAGGCTCTTAAAAATATATTAAAAATTCTTTAAAACACTACCTATTAATATAGCCTATTTTTATTCTAAATTTCTATATCATTGTTAAAAATATAATTAATGAGTTTTAAATAGAGGTCTCAGCCAGCCGCGATTTTTTGGGTCACGTGACCAGCCGCCAGCCGCCGCGGCTGTGGCCGAGCCGCGACAGCCGAAGGCTACATTTTGTAAATCTTACAATGGTTTGCAAACTTACAATTGCTTGCAAAATTACAATTGCAAGCAAAATTGCAATTACTAGCAAAATTATAATTGCGAGCAAAATTACAATTGCTAGCAAAATTGCAATTGCTAGCAAAATAACAATTGCTAGCAAAATTACAATTGCTAGCAAAATTGCAATTGCTAGCAAAATAACAATTGCTAGCAAAATTTCAATAGCTAGCAAAATTGCAATTGCTAGCAAAATTACAATCTACCGGGAGGGAAAATTAAATTTCGATTTCTCAGCCATCAGCCGCGCCAGCCGCCACGCAAAATGACAAGCCAGCGCCGCCGAGGGCAAAACGCAGCTCACATCAGTGGGGCTCAGCCAGCCGCCGGGCAAAACGCCGCGGCTGAGACCTCTAGTTTTAAAATGTTAAATTCAGTGTTTCTTCAATAAATTAACCAAATTTTTCAGAGCTGTTGATTTATGGTTAATGAAATTTAATTTTTATAATTAAAAATTTTTTTAAATGGTTTAAAACTAATTTTGTTGAATTAATGAATGATTTTAACTCACTTTGCTGCTGCAATTGCGTCCTCCTCCAACTCCTCTTCCAAACTAGGTCCCGGCATGTCCACAAACGGAATCTCGCCAACGCCGCTGACCTCCTCCTCGTCCTCGTCAACCTCCTCACCCTCGCCCGTTTCCGACTCCTCAACTACCGAGCTGATGCTGCCCAGGTCGGGGCCTTCGTGCTGGGCGCCCTTATTGCTTTGGCCAGGCTGGACCACTTCTCTCTCAAGGCACAACACGCTCCACCTGTCCAGCATTTTGGTGGTGGCTTGTTCGTAGCGCTCCAGCAGTTGGGGCAGATTCGCGTCATGGTCGCACGCCGAGCCCCAGCCGAGCACTCGAGCCAGGTCGTTTCCCGTCCCCAAGGGCAAGACGCCCACTCGGCAGTGTCTCTGCGAATTCATTAAAATGTTCAAGAGTGGTGCGAATTTTTAATTAAAATGCACCCCTCGAGGCCCTCGACGTGTGACATGCACTCGGAATTAATTAATGCGCGGCCCGCTACTTTTAATCATCGACTTTTTCGAGAGCTCAGAGACGAAAATAGAAATTTTATATAATAACAACCTGTGGGGGATGCACAAGAGAAAAAAGGGTGGAAACTCACATGTAATCCAAGTCGATCAATCTCGGTCAAGACCCAGCCCACTGAGCCGTCGCCTCCGCACACAAGAACACGGAATGGTTTTAAATGATGGAAAAGTTTCAGTCTGCAACAGAGATAGAGTCGTTTTTAGCCGCGTTGCCTCCAGGGAGATGTGCTATGCAAATTAAATGAAAGTTTTGCAATTACATTCATGCGAGTTTGCAACACTTTATGGCACAAGCTGGGCACTCTTTGCGTAATAATAACCATTGTTGGTATGGGGTCATTGCCCTTTTCCTGGTTAACTGAGAATAGTGACAATGAATATTAATGCTAATTTACTTTCTCTTTTGACAAACCAACAAAATTTTAATAAAATGAGAAAAAAAACAAAGACAAATAAAATTATAAATTGAATGGTAACACTCGAGGTGGATTTCATGAAAAATTGAAACCGGGCGAACCTCGTTGCAAAGAAAAAATGAAAAAAAATATAAAGGACAACTGACCCCAAAGGCGACCTGCGGTCTGCTGGTACTTTAAAACCTAGGGTTTCTTGTGTCCGACTACCCACTTAGGTTTAGTCGGACACAAGAAACCCTAGGTTTTAAAGTACCAGCAGACCGCAGGTCGCCTTTGGGGTCAGTTGTCCTTTATATTTTTTCATTTTTTCTTTGCAACGAGGTTCGCCCGGTTTCAATTTTTCAAATAAAATTATCTTTTAACTTGAATTATAATTTATATAGTTTCATTTTAGAATAAAATCTCCATCAAAATTTTCTTGCCTGACGTGATGCATATGGTCACAGTAACTAAATTGGAATCAAATCAAAATTTACTCGTCGAAAAGGGAGTGAATGTTGGCCAGAAAGAGATCGAGCAGAATTCTAAAAGAAATGGTGCTGGCTTCAGGATTCTGAATCTAGAAAAAAGAGCTTTCCAACGGTGTGCATTTTATTGCGTGTCAATTTACAATTCCGCCGGGAGAAATTTGCGTTTGAAAACAGTCATATAAAAAAAATCTTTTTCGTTACTCCAGGATTGAAAAGAATTATCTTAACTGTTTGTTTGATGCAAAAAATGGCACACCGGTGGAAAGCTTGTTACAAGAGGAAGCCGAAAATGCCTAGTTTTTTGGACTCTTTTGCCATTTGGTGAATGACCTGAGAAAGATGTCAGGAACCACGGAAGGTTTTTTTTTCATTTATTGGCCAAATGATGCAATGTTTCCCTCCCAACAATTTTATATCATTCAACGTAAAATTTTTGCAACGATTTGGAAATAAAAAATGATAAAAAGTGTTTTTAATAATAACGTGCTTGAGGAGAAGAACATTTAAAAATCGAGTCCTCTCCAAAAGCGTTCCAAAAAATGTTTATAAACAAATAAATTTTTTTATTTTTTTATATAGATATTTAATTTTTTATAGAAATATGCAATAACTTTCAATGAAAAAGTGATTTTGAATTTAATTTGACGTAAAAAAAGGATGTGAAAAAGGGCAGCCCAGTTCGGTTTCGAACCCCGCCCCGGTAGTGACTCGCGGGCCAGTGCAGTACTGCCCGCTCAGTTACCGAGCGCGCGTTCTCAACCCACTGGGCTGGCCTTCCGGCAACAACAGGAACTTCAAAAACGGTATATAAACTGCGTGGCTGGTCGACTAAGTCGCGCAACACAACAATGAAACAATGAAAGATATTTTGATTGTTGCTTGAGCAAATAAACAAATATTTTTTTTATTTATTTATATAGATATTTAATTTTTTTATAGAAATATGCAATAATTTTCAATAAAGAACGTGATTTCCAATTGAATTGGACGTAAAAAAGGAACGCGAACGTTTTGAGCGACAAACGGCACACGTGTTCGAAAAAATTTAAGAACTATATTTTGCAATTTTATTTATATTTAAATTTTTTTAAATAGAAATATGCAATAGTTTTCAATAAAAAAAGTTATTTCGAATTGAATTGGCCGTAAAATGGATGTGAAAAAGGGCAGCCCAGTCCGGTTTCGAACCCCGCCCCGGTAGTGACTCGCGGTCCAGTGCACTACTGCCCGCCCAGTTACCGAGCGCGCGTTCTCAACCCACTGGGCTGGCCTGCCGGCAACAACTGAAACTTCAAAAACGGTATATAAACTGCGTGGCCGGTCGACTAAGTCGCGCAACACAACAATGAAACAATGAAAGATATTTTGATTGTTGCTTGAGCTCTGTGATTGGGTATCTCAGGTGTCAGTGCAAATTATAATACGACACCAACAAAAAATTTAATAACCAAAATTTTATTAATTTTATATATTTAAAATTTTTTCTTTTAGAAATATGCAATAATTTTCAATAAAAAAGTGATTTCGAATTGAATTTGACGTAAAAAAGCATGTGAAAAAGGGCAGCCCAGTCCGGTTTCGAACCCCGCCCCGGTAGTGACTCGCGGGCCAGTGCAGTACTGCCCGCCCAGTTACCGAGCGCGCGTTCTCAACCCACTGGGCTGGCCTTCCGGCAACAACTGGAATTTCAAAAACGGTATATAAACTGCGTGGATGGTCGACTAAGTCGCGCATCACAACAATGAAACAATGAAAGATATTTTGATTGTTGCTTGAGCTCTATGATTGGATACTTCAGGTGTCCGTGCAAATTTAAATTATGACACTGAAATAATTTTTTAGATTAAATTTTTTCATATTTACGGTACTCTCATTTAAATTCATATCCTAAAAGCAAGCATTTTTGACATGTGAGCGGGAGCGCAAAACCCAGCTGGATGCTCCTTGAAATTATTTAAATAGTTTTTTTTTTAAAAACTAATTGTAAGTAAGGTTCGTTTAAATTTGCAAGCGGTCTTATTCCCTTTACTGAATAAGTATTTTTTAATTCTAAAATAGTCCTAATATTTGTCTCCACATGCATGCATTAACTTCACTAATTAAAGTTGAGCAATTACGTATAATATTTTTATAATCAGTCAAATCGATCTGCGAAACAGCGCACGCGATTAACTAAATATTATAAAATACATGTTTGCTAATGTGCTAAATAAAATATTATTATCGTATTTGAATTCTACCAATTTTTAATAAATTGATTTAGCTTTATTAAAGAAAAAAATATCCTTGATCCCCTCTAATTATGAGTCATAAAAAGATTTGCGCTTAAGGAGGTACGAGAGACTTATTTAAGAATAACGCAAACTATAAATATTATGTTATACATTTTCTTTCAAAATAAAATAATTCATATAAATTTATTAATTTTATTGACTCGAATATATTGAAAAAAATGATTTGAAAATCACTGTAAGCATAGGCAATAATTAAATTAAATATAAATAAATAAATGGCACAACTAATAAAATTGACGACGTAATAGAAATGGAAATGGAATGGCTGCAAAATAGAAGTTGTTGTTGAAAAAGGCGACAAAATAGAATGGATAAGCAAAAGGAAAATGAAATAGAAATGGAACGATTCTATCTTACAGAATTATACTGAAGGTGAAATTTTATACATGTTTTAATATAATTTCAACTTGTGCGATCTAACTCAATATTTGGTTTTGAATTTTCACTATTTTGTAACAAAAAGAGTCTCAATTTTCCCGAATTTTTAATTTGTTCAGATAAAAAACGATCCATAATTTTGAAGAAATAAATAAACTGCATTTTAGTTTCTGATTTAATTTTTAAATATTTAAGTTATTGCTATAAGTTTTAGAGTGTTGTTTACCAGAGCTCGCTTTCAATTTTATCAATGTGATTAACAATTAAAAACTAATTTTTGTTCCTTGTGAAAGTATAAATTGAAATAAATTATTAATATACTTTAACTTTTCATTCAAACCAGAATTTCCCATCTTAAATCTAGATAAAAAAACATAATTATCCAATTCTGAACTTACCCAAGTGCAGGTCCGCCGCTGACTAGGTCGAAAACCTGCGCCGGGTTGAGGAGTTGCCTGAAGCGGCGCAGGAAACGCAGCCCCTGGTTGTCCCCAGACCTCGAGTTGACAAACACCAAGAGGGGTGAGGACAACTTTGGCCCGTGACCCACGTCCCAGCTCTCCTCTGAGCCGGCCGAGTGGAGGGACGTGGGCGGCACGACGCTGACTTTGGCCGGGCCCAGGGTGCACTGGACCGGTTGTTGGGGGCGGCAGGCCGTGTGCACGGTGGCGGTGCACCACAGGCACCGCCAGTCCTGCAGTCGCAGCACCGAGCCGCACGTCTTCTCGCACACACTGCACTTGGCCGAAACGGGCAGGTTGCCCTCCATCCACTGGTGAGGCATTGTGATGTTCTGGAAACATCATCATTAGAAAATTTATTAATTACTTTAAAAAAGAAAGCTAGCGGAAATTTGCAAAACTAAAGAGGCCTTTCGTTGAATACATTTTATTTTTTAATAATAACATACTAAAAAAATAAATGATTAAAAATTGATTGTTAAAAAAGACGAAAAAAAAATAAAGAAGCCAATTCTGAGTATTTCTTGTTCCCTGAAAATTTGAATTAATTGGGCTAGTTGTGATTTATGAAGAAGTAAAATGTTGTATTTTTATTTTTAATCACGTTTTGTATTTATTTATATGTAAATTCAACCCTTATAAATAAATAAAGATTTTGAAAATATCAGCAGTTGTTATTTTTAATTTTTCTTTTATTTTTCATTCTCTGACAAAACTAATTTTAAATTTTTCAAGAAACCCATGCAGCTAATTGTCTTAATAAAAAATTGTAAACTATATTTTTTCATTGAGCCTCAATTAACATAATTTGGCACTAAAATGAAATACTAATCTTTTCGTTAGAGCCTTTAAATCAATTGTTTTCATTTGGCACAATTAACAAAATGGCACCACATGACATTCCCTAATCAATCCCTCGGCGCAAACCATTATACTAATTAACTAATTACACGAATCAATCCCATCAACCACCGATTTACCTGCGCTTGCTTAGCTAATTAAAAATCAATGGTCTGCCCGAGTTTGCCGAATTAATTTACGCCGCGTTTATATCAGGTACATACCCCGTCTGCCTCCTCGATGATGTCGTGTCCGACGCTAGCTAGGGTGGTCCACTTGCAGTTGTTGAGCGTTTTGCACGCACACCTTTTGTGCACCTTCATCTTGCAAACTTCGCATGACAGACCGTGCGATGTCACCCCTGAAATTTGCAGCAAAACATGTTTCGTCAGAGGTGATTGCAACACGCAAAAAAGCACTTTAGTCGCAAATTTATTAACACGCAAGGCTTTTTGATAAAAAAGAAACATGAGTTATTCATCTTGTTTCAGTTGTGTTTTCTACTCATTGTCAGATAGCAAGTAATAATTTATGTTGCATTAATTTGTTTGTAATAAGTGTTTCATTTTTTTTTATAGACATTTCACCGAATTCAACTGGATATGGAAAAACATAAATCAAAAAATCGTTTTTCATTATTAATTTTCATTTTTTTTTTTACATATTCCTAATTAAGTGTAAATTGAATTAATAATGATAATGTTTCAAGCAAATTAAATTCCTTGCATATTTTTTTAAATAAAATTTTAGCCATTGGAAAATTATTAAAATATAAATTCATACTTTAGTAGATTTTAAAGATTTTTCACAAAACGAATCATTTTAATTTTCTTGAATTACAAATAATAATTGTAAATTTGAGCTTAATTGATACATTTTGACTGTTCTAAAAGAGAAATTATTTATTTTAATCATTTTTTAAAGGCATGACAAAATAATTAAAACAAAACAAATACGTTTCTGGTAATTTTCATGCACAATTGGCATAAAGAATTGTGATTTACTCACCCGAGAGGGCCTCTCTGCAGACGTTGCAATAGGTGGGTCTTGCGTGCGAGCTGGCGTACCAGTGGTGATTTCCCGAGAGCACCTCAGCCTGGGCGGAGGTGGACATGGCCCTGGGCCGGCCCGATCCTGGCACCTGCGAAGATGAACGGCTCGATTGAGTTCAAGTAAGGAGATGCTTCCTATCTCTTTCTCTCTCTGGATCATTTCCACGAGGCCGGAGATATTTCATCGCGGACACACGAGGGGGTGAAATAATAAATGTTTCCATCCTCCCGCCGGGGGTGTGCAGTGCGCCATTAGACGGGTTTTGGGAATTTATTTCGCGCTGCTCTTGAGAGCGCCGCATTTCGCAGCACCGAATTGAAATTATTGATCTGCTCGACATCGCCAGGATTGAGACAGAGTGCATTTGTCGGCCGAATTTATTATTTCAACCTAACGCAATTTGCCTGCGAGTGCTCCAATAAATTTCAATTCGTTGCCCAATTGGAGATTTATAATGCACTTCTCCTTGGCTCGATATCTTGCAAAGTGGAAAAAATATTGTTGAATGTAAATATTTTACAATATTTTATTTTTTAGGTAGAGATTTTTGGAGCTTTTAAACAACGGTTGACTCTTAATAATGTAGTAAATTTTTGGAAAGATAAGAAACTCTTCTGTAATCATCGCGTTTTATAAAACAAATTAATCCCACCTTGAAATTTTGCAAAAAAAAGTTTTATTACTTTATTAGTATAATTTTTATTTAAATTTTTAAAATTTTATGCATTTGATAAACACAAGGTTTAATTTATTTTCTACTTAAAAACCCTGCTTACTCTTTAATTTTCTGTCAACAAACAAAGGCACTTTGCCAGCAGTTGTAAAAGCTTTTATCGATTGACAGCTTAATTTCTGTTGAATCAGCAGCCGCATTATTTTCCAGCCAGCGATGTGCCTCATTTTTTCCTCTTCCTTGAAAAAATCCCCCTTTTTTTCCTTCTTCGCCAAAGACAGTTCCGCGTCGATTTCCATTATGTTTTTCTCCGCGTTCATCTCCGGCAAAAAATCCCTTGCCGACAGCGCAGGGACAAAAGACGCGCGCAAAAATGCAGGCATCGGAAACGTAACCCTTTCGGGGTGGATTCGAGCGGCTTTTGTTCCGATCTGCAGACGCACGTCGGCGAAAAGCCTTCGTTGTGCCGCGGTGCAAATTCAGCCGGCGCGAGCTTTATGCTCGGATTAAGATTTCCACGAGGATGCTGTGCGCTCTCTCCACGCGTGTTTTTGCGCCCTTCTGCTTTTTTGAGAGCTGCAGAAACGCGAAACCCCACAGTGAAAGAGAGAGGGTTGCGGAATTAAGCCTTTGCGCAATCGAAAATCGATCTGCAGCCGAAACTTGGCAAGAGATTGCTTTAGATTTGGAGCAAACTCAACACGACGATGAGAAACTTCCGATTGGCAAGTTCAAAAAGTTTTGGAAATTCACAAAATTTTGAGTTCATTACAGATCAAGAAGGTAAATTGAAAATTATCCTTTTTTGATCTGTTGTGAGAGAATACATGAATTGGAAAATTTTAAAACGAGCACCGCAAAGTTAACATTTTTTTTTTTTTTAATTTAACTTTGATGTTCTATTAAAATTAACATAGATTTTTCGTGAATAGGATTTATTTTACAGATTGATTATTTTCTCTGGAGATCAAGAAAGAATTTTTAACTAGCTTTTTTACTTAAATTTTTTTCCTGCCCTTATTTAGCGCAAATCCTTGCAATAATGAAACATTGAGAAAATAATCAAATCATAGCTCGGACCAATTTAATATCTAGTAAAAAAGCTTTAAAATTAAATAACGAAAAAGCTGCCTTAACACTTAATTTCCCTTAACGCAAGCTAAGTTTTTTGCTTTGCTTTTATTTTGCGTTGATTCTCGTATTATTGAAAAATTGAGAAAATAATCAAATCATTGCTCGAAGCACTTTAATATCTAGAAAAAACGCTTTAAAATTAAATGAATGAGTTGCCTTAACACTTAATTTCATGAAACGTAAGCTGAGTTCTCGCTTAACAATATATTTTATTATTATTGTAAAGCTAGAATATAATTATTGCAATCTCAATAAATAAAACTTCAGAGCATCTCTTTTGATTTTTTAATGAAGGATAATTAATGTTCCAGAAATGCATTTAAAGATTAGGGGAGTCTACAGTTTTATTTATCTGCATTCAACTTTTAATTAGCCTAAAAATAGAAAGCTATAAAATTCAAATTAAAATTTAATTAATGTATTATTGAATATCTAAATATCATTTTATGATATAATATAAGCTTTTTAAACTTATGTTTACTTCAAACTTATTGATATATTTAAAGCCAAGAAATTTCCAAAACAAAGAAGACAATTTGGGGATATTAAGGATGTTTAGACATATACATGAAAGAACCCTCATGTATGCCAAATTCATCTGAAACTCAATCAAACTCTGAAACTCCGAAGAAGATCAGAGTAACTTTGAAAGGGAATCCGTTGGAATTACGGCAAAAGTTTGCAACAATGCCGAGAGACTGGAGTAAATTCCACGACCCTTCCTTCCACAGAGCTCTACACAAAATACGAAATTGCAAAGGCGCGCTGATGTTTCAAAAAGCGAATGCGCACTCTTGAAAAACAGACGCGAGAGAAGAAGCCCGCGGCGGGCCAGAGAGGGAAATAAATTCTGTTGATGAAAGTGCATTTTACGTGATTGCCATCAGTCAGAGGAGCTTTTGCCCTCCGGCTCTATCTAGATTTGGCTCAGGCTTCAAAGCAGCCGTTTGCATATTATTATATCACCAGCAGCTCTCTCTCTCTCTCTCAAGACGAAACTGTTGACTTGTTAATTGAACTCTCGCTAATTAAGTGGCGCGCATTACCAGGGTTTCGCACCCAATATATACACTCACACCAGAATTTTAATTAGCCTCTTTAATGCAGGCACGCGGAATGGATCGAGTTACCGCTTTTGCGCACATTTAATTGAATTAGTCGCCACAAAAGCTCGGCGCAAACTTGTGACGCGCGAGACTTGGAATCCACAACGCGTGTCTTCAACCCGTTTTCCCGAAAGGACTAAAATTGTGTAATTTCTTTGACAAGATTGAGCTACATTTCCAGGATTTGCACCTTCTCTCTTGGAAATTGGAGAAGGTATATTTGTTACCCGGAACGCTTCTATTTTAAGATTTCCTGCGAAAAAGCTATTTTTGATGAACTCCATGAGCTGAATCAATATTATTATTAATTTCAAGCAAATGATTTTACAATTTAAAGAATTGTTTTTAAAATTTCCATTATGTAAAAATAAAAGTATTGTTTTCCTTCATTACTGATCACAGTAACGTCAATAACGATTTCAAAATCGCAAAAAATAAATGCTCTCTGCAAAGAGTCAAAACATGTTTTGAAACTAGTAATGAGGTAACTGAGCGTATTGTTTTTCATTGCAATGTTTTTTCAATAATTCAAAGCAATAAACAGGCTTTTGAATTAATGCCCTTGGATGATTTTCAAAATAACATAAGAAAACTCTGATATTGCAATTTCCTGACTTTCTACATCAAAATAATTGCAATCAAACATAAATGTACCGCCGTTCCCATTTTTGCAACAATTGGCTTCAATTGAGAACAAAAGTACCATTGTTGGTCGAATTCAATCGCCAATCGTTGCGGAGAACAGCGGGTTATTTCGCGCCGTCCAAGATCCAAGATTACAGGCCGAAGAAAAGGTATGGAAGGGCAGGCGAGCGGCAAAAACGAGGACGACAGGATTGTAGTGCGAATCGTGAACCCGGCGAGGCCGGTGGCTAAGCGGCCGCCGCAATTTGCCAGCAGAGTGGACGTATTGCTTTCGGTGGGCAGCACCAACGACACCGGTCGCCCAGTGTTATTGATAGGATGTCAACTGGAAGGTGAATGGCTGGCGCTTGATTTATTGAAGGGCCCCACTGCAAATTGGTGGGATCGCCTGCACAAGCAGAAGCGCCATCGACCGACCCCTGCCGCGCCCCTACTGGAGGAACAAAAAAATCGCAGCAAGTGTGCCGAGCAGACCCAGTACTGCTCCAACCTGGCCAGGTCTCGCCGACCCTTCGTCCTGGAGGTGGCGCCCCCGTCCCGAGTGGTGCTCGACCCGGAGAGAGGAGGACGGAGGCTGAGCAAATTGCCCTGCGAGAGGTGGAAGGTGCGGGCTGAAATTCACAAAAGGTACGCCAGAGTCTGGAAGGAAGAGATTGGCGTTTTGGAACAAGATCCTCTCAAAATTTTGGATGTTTAAAAACAAGAAACTGAAATAAAAAAAATTAAAATATATCATTTTAATACTTTTTTGTTGAGTAAATTTAAACAATCTCAAAAATTGTAATTATGCTAATACTTTTTGGAAGCTACTCAAAAGCAAAGGCACTAAAAGAGGTTTTAAGTAATAAAATGATGACATGGATAATAATAATGGATTTTTTTTTTAAATTTTAAATCTTTTTGCAAGGATTCCTAGAGTTGCATTTCAGTAAGTTGTCAAATGACAAACAAAAAAACTGCATACTACTTTAATTGCAGGTTGAAAAAAAAATTAAATTTATTTTTTCAACAAATTAAATAAATTTTATTCATGAATCTAAAACAGGTTATATTTAAAATTGAATTTTGAATATTATGCATATTTCCAGAAGTTTACAGGAGTTCCCTGGATCAACTTTGATTAGATTAATTTACAATTATTTTAAATTTAGATAACAAAATTATATTTTGCTGTTTTGTGGCTTTGTTACTGGTAATTTGATTAGTTTTCCAAATATTCAAATAGTTTTGCCTTATTAAAGATGTTTAAAATGTTTTAGCCGGGAGTTGTCAAGGAAATACTTCAGAAATTGAGAAAATCCTCATCAATTTATTAAATGTACATATTATAACGTATCTATCCATACGTAATAAAATAACCTGATTAAAATTGTTTAAATTGCGTGAAATTTAATTTTCTTGCAAAAGAGCTGGTGCTGCCAAATCGAACAAGGAAAATAAGCGGGAAAAGCGTTTGCTTTCCAAAAGCTCCAACAACAACTTCCTGCCAGTCTGTTTGTTTGTTTGTTTACATTTCAAAAGCAAACATTGTGCATGTTTTCCTTTTCCATGCGTGTGTCACATTATTCCGGTTTGACGCACGGAAAATCGAAATTTTGAAATCTCCAGCGTAAAATGCTGAAAGGGAATCAAAACTGGGGAGCGACTGAAGTGAAAAAATTTAAGTGGCCCAGTGTGTAATGAAGCCTGTGCCTCTTTATTCGCGGCTCGATTAGGCGCGGAAAGAGAGAGAAAATAAGGGGCGCAGAAAGCTTTCAAATTTCAGCTTTGTCCGGCCTGATGAACCAACCCGGAGCGAGAGAGTCGCATTTTATTGACTAACAAGGGAAGGTACTGCGTCATGCGGGAATGAACTTTGACCTTACCGTGACAATCTCGGGGTCGCCGGCAGCAGCTGCCCGCAGGGCGGCCATCCATTCCTCCATGTCTGAACGCGAGTCAGCGCACAGCACCAGACTCCGGTTCGCCGTAATTACCTGAAAACAAATAAACAAACGGAATTTCAGCACGAGCTGCCCAACGAGCGAACAAATAAATAGAGTGCAAAGGTCGTGTTTGTGCAGTTCATTATGACACTGCTGCGTGTTTTAAGCGGATTTTCCATTTTCACCCTTTTGTTGTTGGTATGTTTATATTGGTTTTTGATATTGAACAAGGTCTTTTAATACGTTGAGCTTGATAAATTTATATGTGGACAACAAAACTCTGGGAAAATAATAAATGATATAATTCTTTTATCTAGACTGCTGACACAAAGGTAAATTATTGTGATGAAGGAAAATCGATTTTAATTGTTCTCTATGAAATACAATGTGAAAATATAGACACAGAAATTAAATAAAAAGTGTACGATTCTAGAATTACATCAATTATGAACCAAGAACCGAAATTGCTTCAATTTTTAAAGAATCGTCTAAATTTGTAGAGGTCAAATTTTTCTATTACAATGGAAGCTGCAGTTCATATTAAAAGAACACTTTTATGAAAATCATTATTTGGAATCAAAATTTCAACAATAAAAAAGAATTTAGAAAATTGGAATAATTTTGCACGCCAATTTAACTTAAAACTATTACACTTATTTATTCCATTTTCACCGGTATCTTTTAATTGATGGATTTAGTTGCAGTTTCTATTTAAATAGAAAATCAAGTGAGCACTCTACTTCAGATTTCTGCAGTTGGTTTTAAAAGGACTCAAACGCAATAAGTTGTGCCGAATTGAGAGGGTGGATTTTCTACCAAAAGCTGTTATTTGCCCAAGTTCTCAAAAGTTTCCTCGCGCGCGGTTGCTCCGTCTGAAAGGAAAGGCGGCCGGAAACCCGCTGAAATTTATTGCACGCAGGCCTACTTCTGAGAGAGCCATTCCAGCAAGCAAGCCCAAGAGCTTAATTGTTCTCACTCAGCCAGAGAGGCCTGTGCAGACAAAGCCATTTCTATAAATTGCACTTCTTCTCGTTGCGTGCAGCGTTGGGCAAAAAGCCTTTGTTTCGCGCCGGGGGAGGGACGGGGAGGGGGTCCATTAGGAAAACGGACACTATAATGCACTAGTTCTTCTCACCTGGAAGCCGAGGTAATCGGATCCTCGGACGCTGCACTCGGCGACGCTCGCATCCCGCAGGTCAATTTCATCAAAAATGGCTGCCTGCGAACAGAGAGAAAAGACGCTGATTAGCGAGAAATGGGCCACACACAGAGGCACCTAATTGCCGCTGGCCGCAATTTATTGATTAAGTTTGTGCCTTGCTCAGGTGCCTCTTAATTCGATCTGTCTAATGAGCCGCCACCTGCTTCCTATCAGCGTCACGGCTGCTCAAAGCACCGCCCCCGGGGTAACAACTTCAAAATCATATTTCAATGGACTCAAATTTCACTGAGATTAATTAATAAATTTAAAAAGCTTCAAGTAGAAAAAATAGCCCCAAATAAATTAAAAAATAATCAGATCAAATTTAAACGGAAGAGGGTTGAAATTCTTAATTAATGAAAATTCAATACATAAAATTTAAAAAATGACTTCTCTAGAAATTTTTTGAATCTGTTGTCTTGTTTTTTTTCTTTCAAATTTTAATATAAAAATCAGCCCTAATATAACAAAAACAAAAATTTGTGAAAAAATATAATAGTTTGTATCAAGATATTTCTTAATTTTTTCAACACTAAATATTTCACATCCACTTTGGTTAATTTTGAATGTGTTGGCCTGTTAGCTAGGCCCGGGGAAAGTGGGGCAGCGCGCAACTTTGCAAATAAAGGCCGGGAATTTATTATCGTGCGTGAAAAGCGACGGTTGCAATTTATCATGGGCGTCGCTGCCAGCGGGAGTTGCTTTTGGGAACTATTCCCAAGCTCATTTGCGCGTTGCTGCAATTCAAGTGTGAACAATGAGACGCTCGGCCGGACCTCTAATGCCATTAGGGCGCGCAGACCGTCGGAATTTGCGTTAATTTTGGACCAACATTACTTAGGTTTATGAATGCAAAAGGGCGTTTTACTAGAGTGGACGGATATATTCCAGTTAGATGCGCACTTGGGGGTGCAAAATTGCAGGCAAAACAAAGCAGTCATGAAAAAAGGAGTTGTAATTTTAGTTATAATGAAAATACATCAATAAGTTTTAAATAAAATAATAAATAAATTTATAATATTATAATTCAATTAAGTAGGTTGAATTAAGCTGGCTGCCAATTCTCTTGTAGTGTGATTTCCAATAATATTTTATTTATTACTTTTGTGATTTATAATTAATGCATTTTTATGCAACTGCATTGAAACTCTGATTTGTTATATCATTTGCAGTTTTAATCTAGAATTGAAATTTCTTCATGCATACAACAATTGTACATTTCAGCAGAGTGAAATTAAATAAAACTAGCATTATTTTTGTTCCTAATTTAAATTTCTATATGATTTGGAAACTAAAAAAACTACAAATTACATTTTTGTCAGCATAATAATGATCTTTATGTAACGATTCACACGGTCTTCTTTTTTTTGGAAAATTTTCAATTTTGCTGATTTTTTGTATTTTTCTTGCTCATGAACTACTGTCGCAGACCGTGATCGAAACTGGTAGAGAGCCATTTGGTTTTTAATAAAAAAACAATTTCTGCAACGAAGCCCGATCTCTTCATTTCCTAAATTAATAATGTGGTAGATAAATTAATTAGTTTGTCAATTTGAATCCAAGGAATTTTATTTATTTTTCAGAGGTTGACTGACATTTTAAAAGACATGAAATGAAGTCTCTATTATTTCTACGTTAATTCTACTTCTCACCTGCTTCACACATAGGTTAATAGAAATAAGATAGAAATAGCAGAGAAGATTTAACTTTTGCTATGCAGGTTGCATAACTTAGAATATTTACAGGCGTTTTGAAAAGGATGGAAGTTGGTGTGAAAAATGCTAGTTATAGCCACAGACTAAGTTATGGCATAGATTTCTTGTTTTCCTTGAATGTTGCATAAAAAAGAGGTTCATGACGGCTTTTCTGGTTTAAAAAATGAATTAAAATCAATAAAAGTTTCAAAAGTTTTTAAACTGAAAAAAAAACTACGAATTAATTGATTAATTTTTAAAAATAGTTGAAAACAGTGAATAAAACGAAGTTTTTTTTTCATTTAAAAATAAATAAGCTGAAGACATAAAGACATTTTTCTTTACACTTCCTTCAAATGTGATATTTCTATTGCAAACATTAAAAAATTAATTGAAAAAAACAATTTCAGGTACAAGCTGGAGAGATAAAAACCACTTATACGCACTATTCGCATGCAGAAAATGCGCCGTTCACGCAAATCACTCTCGAGCATTTTCGTAGTAAACGAAGAGGGCGCCTCCCCGTAAACAGAATAGTGTCGCTTTTCAAGACGCAGTCGCACTCGAAGCAGCGAAATTTAATGCCGAAGGAAGCGCAGCAGGTATATAGAGCAGCGAAATCTGGTTGCAGAATCGGCCGCAAAGCGACGGACGGGTAATTAAAAAAGCGGCTGCTTGTTGTTGCAGCAGCCACGTATAAATCGATCCCGCCGGGCCGCGCAACAAGTTCACTCTACTTAGGGCGGCGTGGTGAGGGGTGGTGAAAAAATGCACACACCACTCTCCTTTGTCTATAATTCATGTTTGCAGCGGAAAAAGCACCGTGTTGAACACGCAGCGCTTGTGAATATTTCATGCTCGCGCGCGCTTCGGCGGTGCGAAAAGTTCATGCCGCGCGCCGACAAAATCGATTTTTAAGTGGCTTTCGGTCGACCTGCGAGGCGGCGGCGTGCCCGCGACCTGCGGATTTTGCTGAGCTGCGGCCAGCGCGATTGGTTCCGGGCATTACAACTTATAACGCCCAATCCAAGGCTCACAAGTAGTTGGAACCAAAATTATTTTAAATCCATTTTATTTGGTCGAGTTATTTATTTTGCATTTTTCAGAGAATGCTTTGTTTTTGGTCTCCAATAATTAACTTATAAGCAATAATTATGGTAATTGAGCACACTACACCAATTTAGAAAAAAAAACTCAAACTTTGAAGTAAATAAAAGCATAATATAACTGCCTTAAATTGGAACATTTTTTGTGTTTTCATTTTTATATTTTACTGAAAATTATCAAAAATTTTCAAATAGCGCTTTATTAATTTTTTTCTGCCGGAAAATTGTTTTTGGCTTGCTCATTTTTCCCATTTCACAGATAATGTCCTATCATTTTAAAGGAAAATTATAGTCTGTTAAAATATTAATTTTTAATTTTATCTTGAATTTCTCTATGACACTGTCAAATTAATTGAATTGCATTATTTTTAGTTTTCATCCTCAAAAGGTGAAGTCAAAAATTAATGAAAAGTTTAAATATACTTGTTAAAAAAAATTAAAAATAACTTTAAATAAGAAATTTATATTAATATTTTTTATCATTTTTTTTTTAACTCTTAAATCAATATACCACGTTTTGTTTAGTCGGTACATCATATTTCTGACAACAAATTGAAATTATATTAATTTTTCGTGAAATCCACCTCGAGTGTTTGCTTTCAATATTAATTTGTGCTTTTATTTACAGGAAGATATTATTTTGCTGCTTCAGAATAGAGCAATGAAAACTGAGATATTATAAAAATAGGCAGAGAAAAATTCTACTTGTGTTGGACAGAATTCTCTGAACGTTGTGAAGCCGCATTTTTTCCAACAATAGAATTTTCCTGCGGAAGCTATAGAACTCGGAATTAGGTAATTGAAAATATTTCCCAAAATGCCAGATACGTAACAACACAAAATCAGTGCACAAACGGCCTTTGTTCTGGGAAAAGCCACAAAATGCGCACTCCAGAGGGAAACGTTGCGCGTAAGGTTCAAATTAATGCGATTACAAGCCAGGCAATTTATATCATCAGCAAATTCTATAATAACAGAATATGGATTTGTGAACAAGAATTTTCCAGAACTGCGTATTTTAAGAGGTAAATTTAATTCGCCAAAAACGGAAGGTTTTAATGAGAAGTAATTCAACCGGCGCAATCATAATTGGCTTCATTTTCCCAGAAACATAATTATTTTTATATTCTCCTGATTTCTATGGAACGTTGAATTTCAAGTATATCAAATTTTAATTTGTAAAAAATAAAGCATGCTGTTAATATTATTTTTTTTACCAGAAAAAAAAATTTATTTATGCTGAGACCGACTCCGGTTTCCCCTTCTCGCCCAAATAACTTGGAATGTGTTTTGGTCAGGTTTGACCGATCTGGATATCAATTTATTTGAAATTAAAAGACCTATTTAAAGTTCCCATTAATTAAAAAGATATGAAAATTATAAAATGAACTTGTTGTGAAACCTTTTTAACAGTATTGTTGCATTATGAGACTATTCAAACTCCCCAAATGTGACCTATTTTACTGACATTTGTTGCATGCCACGTGCCACGTTTTGCACAATCTGTTAATTCCACCTTAAAATTGCAAACAGGTCGTGCGAGAAGCAAAACAGGTGCCGAAAAATCCATCCGGGGCGAAGTGATTGCTTTTTAACGAAGGGCGGATGTGCGCACGCAGAAAAGTGATTAGATTTTCAATAAGGAGTTAATTAAAACGGGCCGTGCTGGTGATCGCGGAAGTGGGTCCTCCGCGGTGCACGCCACGCGCGCGGTTGCGAAAGAGGGCCCGAATCGATTTTCGGGGAAAAGGACAAAGGCAACAAGTAATCAAAAAGTGCACTGTCACACATCCATCAATCATTGGACGTGTGAATGAATATTGATTGGCATACCAACCAACTCCCCTCGTTCTTTCTCTCACTACGTGTATTTTTTTTTTATCTTGTTTTCCCTCCAATAACACCGGCGACAAAAACAGACTCCGCTTTTTCCTCGTCTCTATTTTCCTTTTTTATTTCGCGACTGTCATGCGGAATGATGGAACTTGATTGAGCAATGGAAAATACACATCACTCTCGAGTTTTCCTTATTTATAGCACCCTCTCGGGAGTGACGGAAATAGTGAGAGGGGCGTCCAAAAGGGGCTGCTTTTTGAAGATGCGCCCGCGGCATTATTAAATAAGACCTTTCGCTTTTTCTTCTTTACCATTCGTATTTTCTCGGCGTTCCCGGGAAACGAGTGATTTGTCCTTTGGATTATAGAAGAAGAAGTTTTGC